ATATATTTGCAAAGTGGAGACATAAAGATAGAGATCTCCTGTCTGCTTTTTCACCCTCCAAATGGCCACAGCAGCCGACAGTGAGTCAGGATGAAGTGGGGAGACACAGGCTTGCTCTGGACGGGATCTCCCATGGGGGTGTCAGGAATCCTAGAGCTGGAGCCATCACCTGCGCTTTGCAGGGTGAGCCAGGCAGCAGGCCGAGGCCCTGGGCGGGGACGGCGGCACTCCCTGTGAGCGTGTCTTCACTCCTGGGTCAGAAGCTCGGTGAGCCCTTCTTACCCTGCTCTTTAGTCATCCACAGACCTTGTTGTGAGGAAGTTTATACTGCGTGGAACAGAGGAGGTGGGCAGCAGGGAAGGGGGACAGGGAAGGCGGTGGAGGGGGTAGGGGAAGGGGGCAGAGAAGGCGGTGGAGGGGGTAGGGGAAGGGGGCAGGGAAGGCGGTGGAGGGGGTAGGGGAAGGGGGACAGGGAAGGCGGTGGAGGGGGTAGGGGAAGGGGGCAGAGAAGGCGGTGGAGGGGGTAGGGGAAGGGGGCAGAGAAGGCGGTGGAGGGGGTAGGGGAAGGGGGCAGAGAAGGCAGTGGAGTGGGAAGGGGAAGGGGGCAGAGAAGGCGGTGGAGTGGGAAGGGGAAGGGGGCAGAGAAGGCGGTGGAGGGGGTAGGGGAAGGGGGCAGAGAAGGCGGTGGAGGGGGGAGGGAAGGGCAGAGAAGGCGGTGGAGGGGGTAGGGGAAGGGGGCAGAGAAGGCGGTGGAGTGGGAAGGGGAAGGGGGCAGAGAAGGCGGTGGAGGGGGTAGGGGAAGGGGGCAGAGAAGGCGGTGGAGTGGGAAGGGGAAGGGGGCAGAGAAGGCGGTGGAGGGGGAAGGGGGCAGAGAAGGCGGTGGAGGGGGCAGGAGAAGGTCCCTCCCTGAGCTCCTGCCCAGGCCCTCAGTGCTTGCTCGTTCTGGAGGCAGGAGCAGACAGGACAGCAGTTGGGCTAGGTGGGCCCGGGGTGGCCGCAAGGCGTGAACGAGGAGCTGCTGGGCGTCTCGGTACAAGCAGAGCCCGGGCCTCTTTTTTGGGCCTCTTGTACAGGGTTCTTAGTTTTGGTAGGCCTTGTCGGTACTTACCTGAGTTAAATATTCCTGTCAGAATTCTGAGTGTGAGTGGCCCGGATCAGCAGCTGGGGTGTCCCTTTTGGAAGCTAAGTCACAGGGGTGACGCCTGTGGATATCAGAGGGAAAGCCACTGCCGTGTGGCCCCTCCTCAGACGCTGTCACAGAACCTGTATTCCTGGCTGCCTGGGCTGCTCCCCCCCCCACCCGTGGCCTGGGACCTGCCACCTGGAGAGCCTGTTCTCTGCTGCACAGAGCTTTGTGGGTAAGCACTAAAAATCCCACCCGAGAGGCCAGCCCGTCCCACAGTTGGGCTCTGTCCCATGTGCCTTGCTGTGAGCTGACCAGGTCCCCCGCGTGTGCCTTTGATCTCAAGACACGGTGTTTGCTTTTCGAGGCACCTATGCTGGGCGTGCGGTCTGCATGGTCAGCTTTTTTCATGCAACGACATAGTACAGTTCTTAATGTCAGTGTGCCGGAGTCCAGCTCCAGCTGAGTTCGGAGAAGGGTGCGTGGATGAGGCATAAAGAGAAATGAAATGGACCACTACAATTCCATGATCATCATGGACAATGCAGGAAAGCTGTCCGCTTTATTTATACAGAACCAGTCAAACTCTGGCTCAGACTTTTTACGTCATGGTCAAGTGGGTGTTTCCAAAGATAATTCTGCCACTTGTTTCACCTAAAAACTCTAGAAGTTCCTGCTACAATTCTTATTCTACAACTCAATCTTGTATCACAAAGAAAAGGAGAACCTGGACCCGGCAAGGTGGCGCAGTGCTTAAGGTCCTCGCCTTGCACGCCCGGGATCCCATATGGTCGTCGGTTCTAATCCCAGCGGCCCTACTTCCCATCCAGCTCCCTGCTTGTGGCCTGGGACAGCAGTTGAGGATGGCCCAAATATTTGGGACCCTGCACCCACGTGGGAGACCTGGAGGAACTTTCTGGCTCCTGGCTTCAGATCAGCACAGCACTGGCTGTTGCACTCACTTGGGGAGTGAACCATCGGAAGTAAGATCTTCCTCTCTGTTTCTTCTCCTCTATGTGTATCCGCCTTTCCAATAAAAAAAAAAAAATCTTAAAAAAAAAAAAAGGACAACCTAAAGATCAAGGAAAGAATGAAACCCTAAATACAGGTCCCTTGATTAGCATGAGGTCATTGGGGACAGCCAAGACAGTATGAATAATAAAAGGTCCTTTAACCTCCAAGCTCACATTGAGTAAAAAAGCCAACTGCACAGCAGCAAACAATGCCTGATTGGATTAGAATTCTTCTGGGTGATCCAGTGTCCATGCCAAGGAAGGTGGAGCTGCATTCAGGTGGTTATAGAGACATCCCCCAGGCCCTGCCATACAGCGGGAAGTTCCTTGCGACCCTGCCAGCAATGGAACAATACTTTTCACACCTTCGTGTCCTCCACATCCACGGCACGGACCCCAGCATCAGTGAAGTGCAAGCTTCAATACAAAACAATGTCAGGGCTGCGTGAACCGGTGCCCCGGAGTTTAGGTGCGACTGATGCATTACTACGAAGGGTTCTGAGGTCCATTTCTGCTGCTGAGTCTATACTTGTAGCTTCAGTAGTTCCTAAAGAATACTGTCCTGCACACCAAGCTGAGCCAGACTGCAACACCTTCTGGTGCTCTGGAGGACATGGGTGGATGTGGGATGGACAAGACTTGGTCTCAGCCCCTACTGAGCCATGTGTGAGCTGTATGTGGGTATGGACAAGCTGTGGCTGGGCTGAAACATCCAACAGTAAGAACCAGTTTGGATTGAAGACCAGTCAGGAAAAGCCACTGTTCTTGCTAGGACAGGAGGTGAACTGAGTAGGGCTAGCCCATGGATCCCCTGGTATGTGTGAAATCTGGCGTTGGGAGAGGTTCTGGTAGAGGAGCCTGGGCAACTTCTCTGGCAGGACACAGATCCAGCAGGTAAGCACAAGAAGCATGATAGGAAACAGCCCAGAATGGGCCATGGGAAATATCCCACTGACATACATTTGGCATGGATCAGGGGCAGACCAGGCTGAATCAGTTCGCATCATCCACTGGCAAATCCGAGCACCAGAACAGAGTGTAGGCCAAGCCAGGTTCGGTCGAGACAAAAACCAATACATAATACGGAATGCCAAGGTGAAGTTAGTTACCTGTACCAGGTATGACCGCAGTGCACAACCAGCATGTGTGAAAACCAGGAAGGGAGCGGGTGGAGCCAGCAGGGGGGGCGATATAGAGGGTTCCTTTGCTGGACAGCTACTGCCACTGGAGAGCCTGAGCTGGGATGGGGGCAGACCAGACTAGACAGAGCCAAAACACCTGTGGGCTTCATGTGGACTGGATCAGGGAAAAGCCACGCTGGCTGATTGTTCCTACTGGTGCAAACTAAAATTAGAGTGGGTGAGGGTTGGTTGGGCTTTGCCTCAGCATCAGCTGGCAGAGGCTGGCACTGGGGGCTAATTCTGTCAAGTTAAACCACAGAACCACCTGGAGAGTGCATAATCCAGGAGTGGGAGTGGCCTGGGAGGGAAATAGTGGGCTCCTCCCTCTTGGGTTACCACTCCCACTGGAGAGCACGAAAACCAGGACAAGGGCTCAGGTGGCTAGACAGAGAGGCACCCAACAACATCCGTGAGGGCTGGATAGTTGAGCTGGTTAGATGGAACTAGGCTTTAATACCCATTGACATGTATGAGAGCTGAATGGGATGTGGGACAGACTGGACTAGTCTGCTACACATACTGGCAAACCAGGGTAGGGGGCAGGCCTGGTGGGGGTTATTGTGGGTCACTCCAACTAGGCTGCAGCTCCCACTGGTTTATGTGAGGGCCAAGTGTGTGCTGGGCAGAACCAGGCTGGACTGCAACACTCATTGGTTCCAGTGGAAGACAGCGCTGGAAATAGAACCAACCCAGCAATTGCAACCACCAACTGCTTAGGGCGATGGACGGTGCCAGGCCCTGTACTTGCTAGCACATACAAGAATCTGGTCTGGGAACACCTGAGACAGAGTCTCTTTGGGGATCTCTCCAATCGAAATGCCAAACTCAGAACCCTAACTAAGACAGAAGACAGAACAAGTCAATCAACCACCTCAGCTGTATGTTGTCAGCAAAATACAGGGCAAATGGAGACTCTATGAAGGACTATGTCAATCAGTGGATTCTTCAGCGACCTCATTGTGCTCGGAGTGGCGAGAAGATTGACAGCAGCTCATGACTAATGAGCCATCAAAACCACTTGAGCAAGCCGCTCGGAGCATGCCCCATGTCGGGGACCTGGGCTGGGTGGGAGACTGGGTGGGGCTTCTCCCTTAATATCCCCCTCTACCTCAGATACATGAAAGGAAACAATGCAGAAATGATAGTCTTACCCATTTTCCTGTAGCCCTTGAACCTTTTTACCCTAATTAACTATGTAAAAATTGTCAAAAATATAATTTAAAAATGGAAAAAGTTAAAAAAGAGAGAGAATAATGTCATGGGGTTTTATTATTTGCACTGAAGGTTGCCGTTTTCCATGGATTCTGGTTCGTGTTGCCTTCTGAAGGTGTTTCCCTCCCTGGGTGGGCTGTGGGCGTGCCGTCAGCTTCCCCCTTGCCGTTTCCGGGCTCTGCTCCTTGTCCTCAGTGCTGCTTACCATGGGTTCTAACAGGCACACTACTGCCTTACAAATTTCTGCCTAAGAAATACCACTGAATTACATGCTGAAAATGACAGAGTGATGAATTCTAGGTTGTGTAGATTTTACAGACAAAGGAAAGAAAAACAGCTTTGAGAAATTTGCAGCTCTTTGGTTGTGTGGTGTTTCCTTGCGTGTGCCTGTTGAGTGGTGGGCGGAAGGTGTTGGAGGGCTCGCTGTTAGTGTTGTCATCTGAGAGGAGTTCTTGCGACTTTACCCTGCAGGCCAAAACCCTGCGAAAACTGATCCAGCAGACGTTCCGGCAGTTCGCCAACCTCAACAGGGAAGAAAGTATTCTCAAATTCTTCGAGATCCTGTCTCCGGTGTACAGATTCGACAAGGAATGCTTCAAGTGTGCGCTCGGGGTGTGTATGGCAGCCGGCAGCCGGCGGTTGCGGCTCCCTCTGTTCACTAACTACAAATAGCAACACTTCAGATTAAAGGAAAGCTAGTATGTAACATTTTGAGGCCAGTATCAAAATATTGTCATTTTTAAGTGGGGGAAAATGTGTCAATCTGAGAATAAAATTGTCCTTTTCAGGTAGCATGCCTTGGTTTAGTGGGGTTTTTATTTTGGAGCTAGCAGTTTGCTGGCTCACTGCCCATAGGACTGCCCACCTGGTGTTCCCGGGGAAGCCGCAGGGTGTGTCTGGGCCCTGCATCCCGGGGAGGTGGGCTTGCACATACTACTTCTTTGGTTAGATGGATGATTAGCCAGCCAGGCCAGCCTCCGTTTGGGTTTTTAATGTATCATGTCTATCTATCTAAAAATGCCTTTTTCCTTCGGTACTGCTGTCTTCCCTTGCTGGGCCTTCCAAAGTCAAGCTGGATTATTTCGGTGGAGCTGGCCATCGGCCCGGAAGAAGGGATCAGTTACCTGACGGACAAGGGCTGCAGTGTAAGTCCCTTCTGCGGGGTACAGACACGGAGGCGGCACAGTAGGAAGATGGGATTCTTTATTTTATAAATAACTCTTGGTATTGCAGGGAGCAAGTACATGATCCACTAGCAAGGTATGAAATGCTTTGGAACCCCTTAGTTTTGGAAGGAAATGAATCCTAAAATTGTGTATGTTTAGTGAGAACTGAAGGGAGTTCCGGTTTATCTGGAAAAGTTTGAATGTTAGCTTTTTTTTTAAATTGATTTTTATTGAAAAGACAGGTTTACAGAGAGGAGAGACAGAGAGAAAGATCTTCCATTCACTGGTTCATCCCCCAAATGGCCACAACAGCCAGAGCTGATCTGATCTGAAGCCAGGAGCTTCATCCGGGTCTGCCACGTTTCAGTCACCAGTGTGGGGCCCTGCATACTTGGGCTGTCCTCCACTGCTTTCCCAGGCCACAAACAGTGAGCTCGTTGGGAAGTGGAGCAGCCAGGACATGAACCTGCACCACCTGGATGGGATGCCAACACTTGGAGGTGGAGGATCAGCCAATTGAGCCATCATGCCAGTGTCTAAATATTAATTTTTAAACTTAAATTCTGTATAAGATTCGACTGTAATTGTACTGGTGCCATGTCCTTTGGGAGATTCCCTTTTCGTTAGTTCTAGAATAAATTCATAACTCTGCTCAAGTTCCTACGAGCCTTCCTCAGCCTGCTGAGATCCAAGTGTGCATCAGATGGAAACCCATAGCACATCCCTTGCCGACACTCCAAACAGCAGGTCCAGCTCACCCCCAGGACCGTCCTCCAGCCTGTGATGGTCTGAGTGTAGCATTCTTTGAGAATTCTACACTTGACCTTAAGCAAAGGACTGAGAAGTGATTTAAGAATTCTTTAAGACATATTATAAGAATTCAGTCTATTTGGGAAGGGTCCTTCGAATACCTGTTGTCTCCCTGCTCTATTAAACTAAATGAAGATGTTTCACAATATTTATAGAAAAACAGAATTGAAAGATATTTTGGGAATTAAAAATTCACAATGCAAGGTGGGTATTTAGCCTGCAGTTTGAGACACCTGTGTCCTATGTGGGCATGCTGGGGTAACGTCCTGGCTCTGCCTTCTGAGCCCAGCCTTCTGCCAGTGCAGACCCTAGAAGACCCCAAAAGGCTCAGGTGGTTCCTGCCATCTGCTACAGAGGACCCCACTGCGCCCCCTTCCCAGCTTCAGTTCTCACAGCAGTGAGTGTTCACAGACCGTGCTGGGGGCAGAGGAAGTTACATGTGTGTGTCATGCACACTTGCGCTGTCTTAGGTAGCTGTGAATCATATCTTTAAAAAGTTTCTGAATTTGTGATTATCAGGTCTTCAAATATGTATTGGGCATGTATATTGTTTATAAAGTGTTTTTTAAGAAATCTGTGCCAAAAGAAACAGGTCTTTTAATTCCACAAATGTTTGATGTGCAGCCATAGCTCAGGGAGCACTGGAAGTGATCCGCAGGCTCTCTGTGTCAAGCGGAGCACAGCACTCACTGTCCCTGAGACTGTAGGCTTCTTCAGACCAGCCAAGGAGCCACCCCCAGTCCCACTCAGAACGTGGGTCTCCTCAGGACGTCGCAGAGTCACAGAGTCACGTGATGGTCTGCTAGGGCCAGCTTCCACAGTTGCTCTCCCAGCTCGTTAGTCTTAGGGAAGCTCGCTCTAAGAATGTGGGATGTTCTTGGTGTTGGTGAGACTGTCACGGAGCGCCTGACAGGATGGGGGAAGGGAGGTTTTTTAGCCGTGATCAAATGATTTTTCCCTTCCTTTCCAAAGCCCACACATCTGGCTGACTTCAATCAAGTGCAGACCATTCAGTATTCAAACAGCGAGGACAAGGACAGGAAAGGAATGCTTCAACTGAAAATAGCTGGCGCACCCGAGGTAAGGGCTTGCAGACGCGATCTTAAGGCAGACTCAGTCACAGATGGAGCTTAGAAAAAGTGATCTACTTAGAGTGAGGCAGGAATGTTTGTGGTTCATCAGTGTCACAGTTGTCTCCCAGGTCGTGAGGTAATGGGTCAGATGCTCGGGGCTGATTGTTGCCCCAAATAGGGCAGGAGAAAAACTTAAAATCACTCGGGTCTTTCGCTAAGTTCCAAGGAAATATGGGTTCTCTGGCTGTAACAGTTATAGTAAGGATGTAGCTTCCACTTATGGCACATATGCCATTGTCACAGAAAACCAGCTGAGTACTGTGGTCAGCCACATCGTGGAGGGAGGGAGACTAAGGGACAGTGATGGATAGCATTGGGCCTTACATTCAAAATCATCCGGCTCCTTACCTCTGCTTCCTGATCTGGGACTTGCAATTAGAGACGAGAAGTGGTGTGAGAACGCCCACGCAGCACAGGCGTGGAGCAGAATCCTCCCTGTGAAGCAGCGCTGCAGGGGGTTTGGTGGTCCCACAGTTTGGCCTGTTTGTGGGGCGAGTTGTTTGGAACTCCATGTCTGTTCAGGACTCTCGCTGGGGGCAAGCTTTGTGTCCCTGCCCTGCACTGGGACAGTAGGAGAGGTTTGTGTCCGCCTAATGCAGAAAGCATGCTGGGAGTGGAAATCCAGAGTGCCGATTATTTCCTATCATCTTGTCATTTTCTTATCCCTAAAATACTCTTTAGAATCCTGTAGCTTTGGGCCCAGCTCGGTAGCCTAGCAGCTAAAGTCCTCACTCTGCACACGCCAGGATCCCATGTGGGTGCCAGTTCTAATCCTGGCAGCCCCGCTTCCCATCCAGCTCCCTGCCTGTGGCCTGGGAAAGCAGTCGAGGACAGCCCAAAGCCTTGGGACCTGCACCCACGTGGGAGACCCAGAAGAGGCTCCTAGCTCCCCGGTTTGGATTAGCTCAGCTCTAGCCGTTGCGGCCACTTGGGCAGTAAATCAACGGATGGAAGATCTTCATCTCTGTATATCTGACTTCCCAACAAAAATTAAATCTTGACAAAAATCACTCAGCTGAGAAAGTTTCATGTGGATTGTCATGAGTTGGGACATGTTTGTGTATGAGAAGAAAATCCAGCCTCGACTTCCCTAATAACACCCAATCTGGACTTCTGGCAGGTTTATCAACACTGGACAGATTTAATGATGAGATGAGTGGCTTTTTTTTAAGATTTATTTTATTTTTATTGTTGATTCATATATACAGAGAAGAGAGACAGAGAAAAAGATCTTCTGTCCATTAATTCACTCCCCAAGCAGCCACAGCAGCTGGAGCTGAGCTGATCCAAAGCCAGGAGCCCAGAGCCTCTTCTGGGTCTCCCACATGGGTGCAGGGTTCCAAGGCTTTGGGCCGTCCTTTACTGCCTTCCCAATCCACAGCAGAGAGCAAGATGGGAAGTAGAGCAGCCAGGACACAAACTGGCACTCATATGGGATACCGGCGCATGCCAGGTAAGTACTTTAGCCACTAGGCTACCACATTGGGCCCAAAATGAGTTGCTTTTTATAAGCCTTCCTCAAAATATTCTATGCTTACTAAAAATAATGAAGTTTCAAGTGTTAAGCATTATAGATTGATGGAAAATCTATTCCATGCCAGCTTAATTTCAAAAAAAAAAAAGTCAAAATTTAACTTCCTGATGATCTAAAACCTTCCCTTCGAGAGGCCTGACAGTCTGAAGGGAATTCCATCTAAATGATGTTCCTCAGTGTGCCTTCTGTAGCAGCTTCTAGGAATAACAGCTCGAAATGCCACGCCCGCGTTCTGACTCAGATCTCATGACAAGCCTCGTTTGTGTCCCTCCTGTCTCTGCTTTCAAGTGTGTGTCAAGTCTGATGTCACAGCACAGCTGTCTCTCTGACCGCTGGCAGGAACAATAACGTGTCTTTCTTGGTCCCTCCCGGGTTAGCCTCTGACAGTGACGGCACCATCGCTGACCATCGCCGAGAACATGGCCGACCTGATAGATGGGTACTGCCGGCTGGTGAACGGGGCCACGCAGTCCTTCATCATCAGACCCCAGAAAGGTGAGCCTTTTTCCCTGTCGCAGGTCCCCAGGGCGTCCCCCTCCATAGCCTGGTAATCTTCCTGTGGGGGGCCTGGAAGGGTGAAGGCCAGGCGTGCAGACCAGGCAAGGACAGTGCGCATCCCTGTAGCGGGCAGTGGGCAGACCAGCACAGGCTTGAGTGAGAACTGCAGGAGGGCTTTGTGTCTGCAGCCCTGAGTTTTGAGCTATTTAGAGCAGTTTCTCATCCATAAACTGTTAGGATAATTTCCTACTTTTAAAAATAGACGCACTGAAATTCCCCTTGGATAGGAGGTTTCCTTCTTTGTTTCCTTGTCTGTCTCAAAAGCCCCAGGCAGCAGAAGAGCACGTTATACATAGCCAGAGAGCAGAATGAATAAATACCTAGAAACAGCCAGTCTGGGATTGTTGTAGAAGGCATGGACTTTCCCAAGCACTTCAGGATTTGGAAACATTCCAGCTGGGTTGTAGCATGCTGGGAAGCAGAAGCTGCCTGGCTTGGCATTCACCTGGGCGTCCGGCCTGTGCGTCCAGCATCCCTGTGTGTGAAATGCTTGGCATGGCATTCACCTGGGCATCCAGCCTGTGCATCCAGCGTCCCTGTGTGTGAAATGCTTGGCATGGCGTTCACCTGGGCATCCAGCCTGTGCGTCCAGCGTCCCTGTGTGTGAAATGCTTGGCATGGCATTAACCTGGGCATCCAGCCTGTGCGTCCAGTGTCCCTGTGTGTGAAATGGTTGGCTTCTAACGACTTACTGCCTGTAGTAATGCAACAGTGCTGGCTTGGCTTTTTTGTTGTCAGTGTCAGCAGTCATGGTGTGATCTTGACACTGAGCGTCTGTATGGAAGAAAATGAACTTGTTTGCTGGCTCATCGGTAGGGTCATGTGGTACATGGTTAGAGAAGCATGTTGTCCCGTGGCCAGTGGACAGGGAGTATGTCCTCTCTATGTATCCATTCCTGCTCCTACCACTGGGGACTAGAATCCTCGAGTGCCATGTGGTATTCCCTGTAACAGAACTGAGTGACCCAGAGAAGAGGGTGGAGAGAAGCATGTGTGTGGCAAGTGATGGCCCCGGAAGCCAGGGCCTCGGCTCTGCAGGTTGACGTGTGAGTCCACGGAGCCGTCCTTGGACCCTTGGCTCAAAAGCCGCTAGTGCTGTTTGGCTCTGGAAACAAGAACTGAAGCAGCCCGAGGCAGAAGGCCACTAAGTAGGCTGATGTCCTTGTGATCCCAGGGCAGGGCTGGCCGGGCCAGAGCATCCTCCCACCCTGGACTCACAGCAGAGGGCAGGGCTGGCCGGGCCAGAGCATCCTCCCACCCTGGACCCACAGCAGAGGGCAGGGCTGGCCGGGCCGGAGCGTCCTCCCACCCTGGACCCACAGCAGAGGGCAGGAGCGTCCTCCCACCCTGGACCCACAGCAGAGGGCAGGGCTGGCCGGGCCGGAGCATCCTCCCACCCTGGACCCACAGCAGAGGGCAGGGCTGGCCGAGCCGGAGCGTCCTCCCACCCTGGACCCACAGCAGAGGGCAGGGCTGGCCGGGCCAGAGCGTCCTCCCACCCTGGACCCACAGCAGAGGGCAGGGCTGGCCGGGCCGGAGCGTCCTCCCACCCTGGATCCACAGCAGAGCTCGTGCTGCCTTGTTGCCAAGATGAGCGTCGTCACTGATGCTGTCTTCCATCAGACGGAAGATTCCTCTCTGTCTCTCCTCCTCTCTATATAAAAATAAAGAAAATCTACATTAAAAAAAAATGCCTTCCAGAGCAAAAAAGTTAACTTCACTTACAATGGTGGACATTTTAGTTGATTAAATTTTTTTTTATTTTTTTTTTTTTTGCTTTAAGATTCTTTTTATTTTTTAATTGGAAAGGCAGATTTACAATACAGAGAGAAGAAGAGACAGAGGTAAAGATCTTCCATCTGCTGATTCATTCCCCAAGTGGCTGCAGTGGCCAGAGCTGAGCCAATCCAAAGCCTGGAGCCTGGAGCCTCTGCTGGGTCTCCCACACAGGTGCAGGATCCCAAGGCTTTGGGTCGTCCTTGACTACTGTGCCAGGCCACAGGCAGGGAGCTGGATGGGAAGTGGAGCAGCTGGGACACGAACCTGTGCCTATATGAATCCTAACAACCTGAAGCGGGAGGATGAACCAGTTGAAGTGCTGTGCCAGCCCGGTAACTGTCTCTCTGCTGCTGCGTGCTGCCATTTCTCTTGAATTTGTGTTGCTCCCTTGGTGGCACTTGCTGTCGTGTTATCACTTCGCTGCTTTCCTAAGCTGGTGAAGGTCAGTCCTTCAGCAAGGAATGGTTACTTTCTGTTTTTATTTTTTTATGTTAAAAAGACAGCCTTAGCTTGTCGTACCTTTTAAACACTCGGCGCCTGACAGTTGTTTGTGGTTGTCCCCGATGCTCCTAGCACAACCATAAACCCTCCCGCATGCCTCTGAAGGGTCACTGCTGGGCCAGGGCAGAGCGCGTCCGTCCTCTGGCGGCTGCGCCTGGTCTCCGCAGTGTGCGTAAAGGAAAGTCACTCTTCTCTCCTTCTTTCCCCAGAAGGCGAACGAGCTCTGCCGTCCATACCGAAGTAAGTGCTGCTTTGTGCCTCTTCTCTGCTGCGATCACTGGGAGGAAATCAATGCGCTTTATTTTCCATTTTCCTAAAGAGTAAAATTTCTGTAAATATGAAGGAACTGGAAAAAATATTGCTAGAATGAAATCACATCTGTTATGAATTTGGTTGGCAATTAAGTTAAATTTAAAAGTTGCAAATTAGTTTTCCCTTTGAGTTCAGTACAGAAGCTAGGAAGGCTCAAGGCAGCAAGATCGAGGGCCAGTTGTGAAGTTTTCACATGTGCTTGTATATATGCTTCGAATGTATCGCTTACCGCTTCTGAAACCTCATCGTAATTTGTTTTCTGATAATCTTAATAACTAAGAAAATAAAAGTTTCTTTATGGTTTTGTTGCTTATATCACAAATCAAATGCTAGTGCTTAGGAACTGGACACAGGATATGAGAGTTAAAATGTAGTGTTTGGGGCCCGGCATGGTAGCCTAGTAGCTAAAATCCTCACCTTGCACACGCTGGAATCCCATAAAGGTACCAGTTTGTGGCCCGGCTGCTCCACTTCCCATCCAGCTCTCTGCTTGTTTCCTGGAAAAGCAGTCGAGGACATCCCAAAGCCTTGGGACACTTCAGCCCCCACCCGCATGGCAAACCCAGAAGCAGCTCCTGGTTCCTGGCTTCAGATCAGCTGAGTTCTGGCCATTGCAGCCACTTGGGGAGCCAGCAGGAAGAGGATCTTCCTCTCTGTAATGTAAATCTGACTTTCTAAAAACAAATAAATAAATCTTAAAAAAACAACAAAACGTGGCAGTATTTGCCGCATAGCTGTACGGTTACAGCTGTGTGGCAAATACTGCCGGGGACACTGGCGCTCGGGAGTGTGAGAGCTACTCGGCTAAGGGGATTTCTGGACCTTTTCTTTCTCCTTTCTCACCAGTCCATCTCTGCTTTCTCTGTTTTCACTTCCTGAATATGTTGGATCCACTCGCTTCGCCCTGTCTCCACTGTCTGCTACCACCGTTTTTAGTGACTCTTGTCACCTGTCTGGGCTGCACCTTTGCTCTGGGACTCTCAAGGCCAGCCCTGACTTGGCGAGTCTCTGCAGTGGCGCATACATCGGGGACATGAAGAGAATGGGTGTGGAGTGGGAGAACGTGGGCGAGTTTCCAGAGGTCTGCCCGTGCAGTGCTCCCAGCAAAGAGCTGGGCCACGCCTCTGAGAGCCTGACCGGGAAGCTCAGTGGAAACACAGTGCCCTGCGTGTCTCCTGGATTCTCGCTATCTGACATGTACTAAAATTATAGACTCCTGGGAAAAAACAAAGACAGTATAAACCAGTTACTGAGGCCGGGAGCTCCTTCTGGGTTCTCCACATGGGTGCAGGGCCCAAGGGTTTGGGCTGTCTTTTACTGTTTCCCAGATGCATTAGCAGGAAGCTGAGTCGGAAGTGGAACAGCTGGGACATGCACCTGCACCCTCCCAGGATGCCAGCGTCACAGCGCTGCCTTCCCTTGCTGCGCAGCACCAGCTCCTGCTCTCGTTTTCTTCACTGTGTGCAAGGGCCTGTTCTGAATTCACACTCCACCACAACTTGCTGTTGCTGTTAGAATAAATCCCAGGACCCCTACTTTGACAGGTGCTGCCCAGCTCCCGCTCTGGACCTAAGTTACTGGAGCGAATGTCCTGTTGCTTCCCTGTGGGCTTTCATCAGTGCTCTTCCCCTGCGGGTCGCCCTCTTCTGCAGGCCGCTTTTCCTGAGCCTTGTTCGTTTTCCTGGTTTCATCCTGTGTTGCTTCCTCTGGAAACTTCTTTCAGCCTCTTCCTCCCCAAGGCAAGAGAGCGCACCTTAATAGCCTAGGTTTAGTACTGGTCACAGTTCTGTCAGTGTTGGCATTGCAGACTTAATGGCAGCCAAAATCTGTGCCCATTTGGGGGAGTAGCTGTATGGATGAGGGAAGGAGGGCCACGCAGCTCCTCTGATTCCAACCTGTGTGCCTCACTCAGCGAGCTGTGCCTGCTAGGCGCAAGTCCCACACTGGGCCAGAAGCTAAGGCTTTGTTAGGGTACTCAAAGTGAAATTCCACTAGGTGCTACTGAACAAGGAAATGGTAACATCAAAGCTGGGGTGAGACATGTTGGGGCAGCAGCCACGTCAGTGTGATGTGACCAGGGGACCCCTGCACCCGGCTGCAGGGTTGGGGTGCAGGAAGTGGCCTGCCAGGAAGCACACAGCTCGCCCTGGGAGTGTCCTGGGCTCTGCTGAGGGCTTGGCTTTGTCAGCACTGGGGGGGGGAGGGAAGCTGATGACTTCGTAGGAAACACTGGGATGGAATTTTTGCAGTAGATAATAAGATTTTAAATATTTAGAGATTTTAATAAAAGTGGTTCAATTTTATGGTATTTGTGGAGGTTCGACAGTTGTAGATATTTCTGGTTATCTATATACTCAAAAACTGATACACATCTAATTTCTAATATTTTCTATTATTGCATCTTTTCTGGTTTTCCTAACATTAGGGAAAATTTTCTGTTCATTACTGTAGTAGTAAATGTAGCTGTTTTAAAAAAAGGGTTTTTTTTTTCTTTTTAATTAAAAAATCCAAATAATGTCACCATCTGTGCCCTTTGGGATTTGTTTTTTCTCTCTGTGTTTTGTGTTTTCCAAAGATCATAAATGACAACCAAAATTTTAACAAGTTTTTATTTTATGTGAATAAATTTATGAAGCTTGGTTTTTTATATGACTGATATAAAATTTTGTTTTCTTAGTAAATGGCATGTTACTCCCAATGCAGAGATGCCCTCGTTGGTGTGGGTTTTTGGTTCCGGAGCAAAGCCGTGACCCTTGTCCTTGCCTTTTACAGGTTGGCCAACAGCGAGAAGCAAGGCGTGAGGACACACGCGGTGTCCGTGTCAGGTAAGGCGCTCTGGGCTGCTGGCCCGCGACGGGGGGCAGTCATGGCAGTCACGGCAGGTCACGGCAGGTCACGGCAGTCACGGCAGGTCACGGCAGTCACGGCATGTCATGGCAGTCATGGCAGTCACGGCAGTCATGGCATGTCATGGCAGTCACGGCATGTCATGGCAGTCACGGCAGGTCACGGCAGTCATGGCATGTCATGGCAGTCATGTCATGGCAGTCACGGCAGTCATGGCATGTCATGGCAGTCATGTCATGGCATGTCATGGCAGTCACGGCAGTCATGGCAGTCATGGCAGTCACAGCGGTGGCTGCGACCTCCGCCAGCCTGCCTCAGCTGAAGGAGCTTTTCAAAGCGACGTGCTCTAGTTGAGAGTTCAAAGTAGCTTCTTGTGTTTTTAGGTCAGGCTTTTATGTGGAATACCAAGTTATTCACTAGTTATATAGAATTCCAAAGTATTTTGGTTAATGTCCTGTTAATTATACATAGAGTGAAAAAATCTTCATTTTTTAAGTTTATCATAATTTATGCTTGCAGTTCAGTAGAACTTAATGAGATGTACCCTGTGTATTTATATTTTCTAGTCTAAGAAATGTTAGATATTTTAAATGATTTTATCCTTCACATTTAACATAAAATGGTGTTTGAATATTACTTCTCAAAAATTTAGTTAAGATACCAGCACAAGCATTCTTAACTATTTGCCAGCATGGTAAATGTATTGTACTTTTTCTGGCATATTTTAAAAATACATATGTCCTTGTTTTTCACATTTAAAGCTGTGGAGAATACTGCAAACAGAGATGAAGAAAGCATTTTCCACAGGCCACGTACACAAGTATCTTAAGATCACATGCACTGTGCTACATGTGTGCACATATATGCACACATGTGTATGCACACTTGTGATCTGCTTTTGGATATGCCAAAGACAAGTTCTACAGTGACACCCTCCTCCTGACTTTGGTATCTGACCTAAAAGAGACTCAGTTGCTTTTTGGTTAAGTTGTTTTAGGTCACTTTTCCTCTGCGTTTTATGCTTTGTCTAGTTGACAAGGACTTCTCTTCTGGTTTTCACGTGTGTGTGCATGTGTGCACAAATCTGCCACGAAGCCTTTCTGCAGAAGCACGTGCTCACATCGCACACGTGGCGGATGCCTCCTGGCGGCATCTGCTGTGCAGCATTGGCCTGGTGTTCGTAGCTTGCTTGCTTGATGCTTCTCGACCGAGTGGGTGCAAGTTGGGAGGGTTAGACTTGTTCTGGACAGTCGCGCAAGCCTCGTCCGGCTTTGCGTAGTTTGTGAGGCAAGTCTGGGGCACTGTACAGTGTCCAGCATCTGAGTTTGTCCAGTCGTGGGACTCAGAAACTTGGTGGGTTGGCCAGCTCCTGCAGGATTTTGGAGTTAGTTTGCAGAGAGCAGAGCACAGTGCCCTGGTCACGAGGCAGGGCAGCTGCTGGATGTGATGGGATGTTGTGAGCTCAGTGAGCTTCACAGTCAGGTGGGAGCTGGGTGTCCAAGAACTTGTAGGCCCCTCAGTCCAGCATTCAGAGTGGGCCCCGGAGCTGGCTTGCAGTGCTTGCACGTGCACATGCCACAGTTGCCTTAGACTGGAGGGAGCGCAGGTGCCCTGTTGGTTTGGTTAATGCGTACTGTTCCTGGCTTAGCAGTACAGCATGCAGCCGTACGAGAGAAAGTGGATGCTAACAGAACCTCCAGATTTGTTCCTGTCAGTCCACTGATCTCTCTTACGCAGTATGTTCAGTGTCTTCTAGCAGCTAGTTGTGGTCAAGCCTGTTTGGCCTCTCCCTGCCATCCCCATTTTGATGTCTGCACTGTTTGTGTCCTGTTTCAGAGGCCCATTCAGAAAAGCCAGTTTGACAGTGTTCTGTCTCTGCTCTGCGTTCTGCGTTGACTCTTTCAGTCCTTAGAACAGACTCAGAACACAGTTTCTGTTTTGTGGTGGTCAGGAGTGCTCAAGTAATTTGTGCTCAATTCCACATAGCTAGTCAAAGGTGGAGTGATTGTTCAGGGTCAGGTACTCTAAATACCAAGGATTTTGCCTTCATTCTTTCCTTCTAGTCATCCTTTAGCCGGAATTTCATACCTCAGTTAATATCTCTGTGTCAGCTCTTTGATTGCTGTATTAATTTAAATAGGCAATTCTCTGGTCAGAAACCAGGAGCCCTGCTCCGCTCACTCCTCCAAGGCCTGTGCTGTCTGCCGCAGCCCACCTTCCCTGTGCCTCCCTGCCCCGCCGCCCTCTTGCTGTGGTCCTGCTGGAGCTGCTCATCATCCTTGTGTCTCCTGTCAGTGCAGTCTCCCACTCCTCTGGGCTAGGGAGAGAAGTCGGCACCCAGGGAGTATGTCATGACGAGGCAGTGACTGCTGACAGCCCTTGGTCCTTCCTCAGGCCCTTGCTGTTCGCCTGCTCGAGCAGACTGACACGTGTGGCCCGCCTCTGTGCTCTTCAGAGACTGTTAATCACATCTGGGAACCGCTGCATTGCACTTATATTTCTAGGATTGTCTTTGTTATGCTCACCCTGGCAAGCCTGCCCTGTGTGGGCGTGGCACCGAGGCAGAGGCCCGTGGCTCCTGGCTCCTCTGAGCCCATTCAGACTCGAGGTTCAGGTGTGCAGCTACGAAAAACTGCCAGCCAGTTACTTGTTTTGCCATCTCGGCCTCATCGACTTCTGCTGAAGCCTGCAAGATCAGGACTACTTTAGTTTCCCATTTCCTGTTTGAGGTGAACTCACTGACGTGGTGTCCGCTGCGTGTTGGCTGTGTGGATCACGGCTATGAGTGCTGAAGTACAAAAGCAAACAAAGCCACTTCTGCTTTGGAGCGTACAGTCACAAAGTCAGACCCTGAGTTAGTTGGGAATGTGGGCACCTATGCAGAATTGTTGTCAAAGGGAACTGAATGACATGGGAGACTGAGTGGGGCAGGTACCAAGGGAGCAGCGAAGGTCCACGGTGGGTCAGAGGGAACAGAGCTAGCTTTCCAGGATCCCACGGCTCAGCCTGTGCAGGATGTGGAGCCCTAGAGTGTGCGGTGGCCATGCAGGGGGGCAGCGGTCAGCCTCCATGTCACCGGCACCAGGAGCGATGCAGAAGGCAGCCCAGGCCACACTGTGCTGCACAGAGCACAGCTGACAGGTCGGCACAGCTCCTGCCTTAGGAAGCGCAGGGTGGTGTGGGGTCTCTCTGGAGTAAGTGGAGAGTCTTGCCCTGGCTCAGTAGCTGCTTTGGGCCAGACAGACTCAACACGCAGTTTTCTGTACCTTAGACTACACTAAACTGTCTTGGAGCTTCCTGGTGTTGATGTGTGGCAGACAGTAATGCTGGGACGGACTTGGCATATGGTCCTGTTTTAGTTTGGGGAGGGATAGAAGGATTTTGACTCGGTTCTGAGTCTTGTGCTAAGATTCAAACTGTATCCCAGTTTGAGAGAAGGTTGGACATCTGTTTTGGTGCTGCTGTGGTTTCCGAGGGAGCTTTTTCTGCTGCTCATTTTGGGGTATTGGGTGCTCACAGTGGGTCTCTAGAAACTGACTTATTAGAGATTCTGGTAGTTCGAGCCGTCAGGAATAGTGGTCGCTTTGTACTCACCCTGATGTTAGGAGTGCCTCTGAGCCAGGAAAGACTTGGCTAAGTCTGTGGCTGCGTGGTGTCGGAATGCAGCAGCATGGCACCACTGCCACACCATCACAGTATTGCCACACCGTCACAGTGCTGCCACCCCGTCACAGTGCTGACACCCCGTCACAGTGCTGCCACCCCGTCACAGTGCTGTCACCCCGTCACAGTGCTGCCACGCCGTCACAGTGCTGCCACCCCGTCACAGTGCTGCCACCCCGTCACAGTGCTGCCACCCCGTCCGTCACAGTGCTGCCACCCCACTGGTTCATTGAACACGGTTCACATTGTGTCGGGGTTGCAGCAGGGTGTGTGCTCACCATCAGCTCCGACAGGTCACACACGGTGAAGAGATACCCATGGGAGGTGTTGTCCATCCACATCCTGGGCCTAAAGGACTTCCTGTTCCTTCCTTCCTGAATTGAACTGACTAGCTACAGAGCATGCAGCAGGTTGCAGGCACTCTAGCAAGGAGGCACTTTCACATATTAAAAAAAAAAAGCCAAATGAGAAGCAGAGCAATAATTAAATAATAAAAATAATGGAAAATGAAAGAGGACTTTTGTTTTTACAAACTGCTGCCAGCCCACAGAAATCTGGTACCTCTGTTTCTATCATTGTTAATTTTTGAGGGATGTTTTCAGTTTTAATATTTGATGATTTTTTAAATGTTTTCTCACATTGAGCTGTGGCTGTTGTGCAGGTGCTGTTGAAGTGAGCACGCGTGTTGTGCTGGGCGTCCTCGTGGGTTTCACCCTCTATACTAGCTTCCACAACCAAGGGGAAGTTCAGTGTGTCTTTCTCAGTCTAGTTTCTTCCACTTAGCTTCATGGTCTCTATTCCTTGCATTCTGTTGGTCAGTGTCACAATTTCTTTCTTTTTTTTTTTTTTTTTTAGCTGAGTAACATTTTGTCATGTGTGTGTACACCTTCCGTTTATCCCTCTATCAGCCGGTCGGTACTTGACTGCTAAAGACGTGGGCGCTCAGGGAGCGTCTTCTGGTGCGTGTTCCCTTCCATGTGGACAGGTCCCCTGGAGACATGTGCTAGGCCTGTCTCCTGAGGGGCCTTCGTGCTCTTTTCTGGGACGCTTGTGCTGGTAGGCATCCCATCAGTAGTGTGTTAGGACGCTTTCTGCTCTTCCTAGCTTCTCCGCAGTCACCTGCTCACCCCAGGGCTGCTAACGCTCAGTGTATGCTGCATGGCTGGGAAGAGCTGGCTGTGCTTGAATCACAAATCTTAATCCTTCAGCCACACATGCTGACAAAAAAATTAGTGGGCTTTATCTTTGTTTAACATTTATTTTTATTAATTTGAAAGGCATGATTTCACAGAGGGAGAGAAGAGATCTTCCATCTGTTGCTTCACTCCCCCGTGGCCAGTGCTAAAACCAGAAACCAAGAGCTTCCTCTGGGTCTCTTACACGGATGCCGGGGCCAAGCGTTTAGACAGAGCGTATTAGCAGAGAGCAGTCAGGACCAGACTGGCATCCACATGGTCTACTGGCATTGCAGGCAGTGGCCTCATCCGCTGTGCACAACACTGACTTAAATGGTCTTTTTAAAATTTTTTAGATCAGCAACGTACAAGTTCCCCAAATGTCATCTTACTAAATGTAAAATAAATTTCATTAACATCAAAAGAGTTGAAGTCTTGCCCTTTCTTGGTGCTGCCAGTGTCTGTCACTTGTCACACATCTTAAGGAGTTGCATCCGTGCTGTGACTCTCAGACATATGACCACTGTTCCCAGCATCTTACTGTGCTTCTTACTTGTCCCCGAGTGAGTGCTGACGCGGGAGAGCCTGGGGTAAAACCCAGTGACTCCAGGGGACAACTCCGTGCTGCTATGCTGCTAGTGGAGGCTTTGCAACATGGCTGTTCAAACCCTCTCCTCCGGCTCTTAGAGCAGATGTGTGAGTGTCTTCGCTCATGGCTTGGGTGCAGTGGCTCATAAAACCTCCCTAAGTCAGGGGCTGCTTGTTTTCTTTTCTTAGAGCTGAGTGTGAAATGTTAGTGATTTTGAATTATGTGTAAGTCTCTGCTGTTTGTTTTGTTTTGGCTTGTTGTTTGTTTTTTAAGTCTATTTTGGATTGCCTAGTTCTGCAGAACTGCGAGAATCCCGTGTCTTGTTTCTATATCTGGTAGTACTTTGCTTAGACAGGAAGTTACATTTTGAAATATTAATGTTTTTAAAACTGAAATTAGTCATAGTAAGGAATAAAGTGTGCCAATAGTGAAAGAAAAGAATTGCAATCTTGTGTTTTATAGATGCTACTTAAAATATAACAAAGTATTGAAATAATTTGTTTCTGTTTTTCTCTTCCTCTTCCTCTTTATAAAGGAGTCAGTCACAGCCAGCACAAGGTTAAGAAAGCTAGGCGCTTCCTCCCTCTGATCTTCTGTTCCCACCAGTCTCCTCCTGCGGGTACTGCACGCCTGTCTGCTCAGGCTTCCTGTTCACCAGAGCGCCCTGAGAAGCTCACTCTAATGACATGCGTGTAGATTGTTGCAACTGGCTGTTAGGGTGTGCTGTCGACTGCCAGGAAGCAATAACGGGGGGCAAGGTTCTGTGTCTGCTCTCTTGCCTAGATGTCTTGTGTGCATGACAGGGCAGGTGGCAGCTCCTTGGTTTCATTTGTGTCAGCGCTTTCCTGTGGGGCTTGGCAGTTGCACCGTTTTTACATTATGGATTTCCTAATACAGCATGCAGCTGAATGGGGATGCCCCGAGGGAGCCCCAGTGTCTGCTGTTTTTGCTTTGGAGCTAGTGTTCAGGGCTGCTGTGTAGTAGAAACAGCCACGTCATTAGGAGAGTTTTCTCGAAAAGCAGAAGTACACGTATAGTTGGAATGATTGTCTCATGCAGCCACTTGGAGCAACCTTTGTTCTGCACAAATTCAAGCGAGACTCTCACTCCTGGCAGGGTAGGGTGTGCCCTTGTCAGGAGGGGCCTGGCTGCCCCTCCCCAGTGGAAATAGGGGCGCCAAGGGGGTCATTACTGATGGGTTTGTTTTCATTTCTGTATGATTGTACATGAATTAACTTTGAGGAAAGAAGTCATTTTCTACTATTTAATTGTGAGGGAGTTCAAATAATTTGGTTTGTGTGGTTGAATCCAGTTGAAGCTCTGTAATACGACTGAGTAGCCTTGTATGATTTGCCGGCAGTTTGAATGTCCTCATCGTGCCTTTAAATTGCAAAACATACCGGCTATGAGAATCCCTCTTTTATCTTTTGAATGAGATTGGGGTGGGAGGAGATTTTTGTTTCTCTTTTTGATTTGCTTGTCATTTTAATAGTATGTTTCCCCCTTCCCTCCCCTCTGTCCTGTCCTGCCCTCCCTCTGTTCCTGCTCCTCCTTTCTTTGCATGCCACCCGGACCTGCAGATGAAATTAGTGGGGACGGTAATGATTCATTTTCACATTTGTGTTACTATAATTATTTGTAAATTGATATAGTTAGTGTTTCATAAAAGGCAAAATGTGATTTTAATCCAGCAGAACCAAGTAGAAAACGCTGTGTGCTGAGGAAGCAAGGCCTCTGAAAGACTGCTCAGGGCCGTGATGAAGGAGAGATGTGTTTCTTTGTCACGACTCATCGGCAAACTTAACTTATATTGATTTGTAGTACATTTCATGGATTTCATGGCCAAAACTGTCCAATTGTGAAAAATTATTAAATCAGTGTCATTATCCAGATAGTATGATAGAGACCCATATACTGTATTTTCTTAGCAGAGTGCAGAAATGAACATTCTTAGTTTGAAAATGTGGTAATAGAAAAGAAAAACTGGAAAGTGATTTCTAAAAGTCACATGAATTAAACTAGGAAATTTCGCCTATGTACAGTCTTAGGCTGGGATGAGATATTGATGGTTTGAATTTAATGAGCCGAAAAGGAACTACACGTCTTTGAAAAGTGCGCGGACTTCCTGAGGTTATGGGAATGTGCTTCTAGATTTGTTGCATGATGTCAGTCATAAATTAGCAGCTTTCACTCCTGCCAGCTCCTCACCAGTGTGGTTTTTAAATCGCCACAGATTTCCACGGCCGCTGTGCTTGGCAGAGAGAAGCTGATAACGGGGTTGAGAGCTGAATCCAAGCCTGGAATGACTAGTGGTCAGGTCCTGGGGGGTCTTGCTCTTTGCACACTGCCCCAGCCTGACCCACTGGCCGACAGTTGAGTGAGGTGGCTGAGGCAGGCTGAGGCAATTGTTCTGCTCTTCTGCTTTCTGTGGTGCAAGCTCTCTGAGGGGATGCTGTGAAGTTTCCTGGGAAAGCACAGGCACTTCCATAGAAGTCTCCAGATGGTTCTTACCACAGGGACAGATGCAGTCATTCTTTTTTTTTAATATTTATTTTTATTTTTATTGGAAAGGCAGATACACAGAGAGGAGAGGAAAAGATCTTCCATATGATAGTTCACTCCCCAAGAGGCTGCAATGGCTGGAGCTTTGCTGACCCGAAGCCAAGAGCTAGGAGCTTCTTCTGGATCTTCCACATGTGTGCAGGGTCCCAAAGCTTTGGGCCATCCTTGACTGCTTTCCCAGGATACAAGCAGGGGGCTGGATGGGAAGTGGAGCTGCTGTGATTAGAATCAGCACCCATATGGGATCTTGGTGCGCTCAAGGCAAGGACTTTAGCTGCTATGTTATTGCACAGGGCCCAGATGCAGTCAGTCTTAATGTCTTCCACAGAGTTGAATTTTTCAGTTCTGTGAAGTAGCCAAGCAAGTATACTTAACCCATCACAAGCGCACAATTTAAGCTTAGCTCTTGGATCAAATAAAGCTCATCTGATTTTATGTTGTCCTTTGAACTTGTAGTGGTTTCTAGAATTTTTAATGGTTAGAAAAAAATAACAAGAGTAGTTAAAGTTACATGAAATCACGTCACCCTGTGCACTGTTCACACTGTGCGTAATCACCTCACCCTGTGCACTGTTCACACCGTGTGTGGAATCACCTCACCCTGTGCACTGTTCACACCGTGCGTAATCACCTCACCCTGTGCACTGTTCACACCGTGCGTAATCACCTCACCCTGTGCACTGTTCACACCGTGTAGTGAGTCGTCGCTCTAGGGCTGCTAGCCACCAAGGTCTTTAGAAAATTACTCATCTCCTTTGTGCCTCAGTTTCCAGCCTGGTCAGCAGGGTAATGGTGACAGTGCTACCGTGAAGGCCTTTGCTGTGTGGTTGTTTTTCACAAGATCTGGCATGTGTAAGCTCTCGGGGGTGTGAGGAATGCAGATCTGGCTTCTTTTGTTGGTGTTTAGATCTTTTGGGCCTGTTTCCCGATTTTCTTGGTGTTTTCTTTCTAGTCAATTCCAAGTTGTGCTTTAATTTTTCACAGTCCTTCAGTATGCGTAAAAAGGCCTGTACTCTCAGTGCCGTTCTGTGCTGCAGTCCTTGAGGCCGGGCAGGAGAAGCATGCTGTTTATAACAGATGGGTGTCGAGGCCCTTGGGAGCAGGGTGGGCATAGTGCTTCACCTCTGCTCCGCAGCAGGGTTTGCTGAGCTTCCCCTCTGTACCAGCACTGGCCCCCCACTCAGGACACTGCCCTGCCGCCTCCGGACGGTGTGCAGGGGCCACCGCACAGGGTGTTGGGGGCTGGAGGAGAGGCGTGAGTGGAGGCCAGGGCTGGCTCTGAGCCAGCAGGCACTGCAGTCCGTGGTAAGCCAGGAGGAAAGCCTCTGCCTTTGCTCTCATTCTTGGTTGGTTTTCTCCTTGAGCCTAGCTTGACGAGCTGTCGTCATGATGTGTAACTTGAACGCCTCCGTTTAGTCCTTTTCCTTACAAGTTTCTGTTCGCGTTCTGATAAGCCATCTCACCAAGGCCGCAGGTCTTAAAGATGACAGTCGGCCTGAGTCTTCAGGGAGAGCAGGTGCTTTGGTACAGACCTTCTTCCGTACGGAGTGGTGTTTGTAAATACGCAGGGAGCTGCAGAGAGCCCTATCCTGTATGACCTAGGGAGAGTGCAGACTTGAGCAGTGCCTGAAGGATAGTTGGTTCATTAGCTTTACGTTCTGCCTGCCCAGCTGGCTGCTGTCTGATCATGTTTAAAGATGATTACACATGAAGAAGTGAGTCCTTTCAGTTACCTGTTTTGCTCAGTCTTTATTATAGCAGTATATGAGGAGCTCGCTGTCCTAACGGCAATGAACTATATTTGTACTTTGCTTGGGTTAGCTGAGTGCCACAACAGTGGCAGCATTCCATTTCAGGGACTTCGGAAAGTGCTGCTGTCCTGTGCTAACTGGTGGCTGGGGGGCACGCAGTGAAGCTTTTGTTGTGTCAGAAAAAGAAGGCACACAGGACTTGAGTGGCTTTATGATGTATTGTTAAATTACTCCAGTGGAAATATTGCAACTGTCTTTATTTCCAAAAAAATAAAGAAGGAGAGAGAAATCCCATACCACATTTTCATCTACTATTTATTTTCTCTGAGTGAAAAAGTTATAGAAGATAAATTCTTTAGATTGCAGTTTTTCAACCCTGAACAATTGAGATAAATCAACCCAATTAATCCCCTCAAATATTGGCCTGCCATCTGGGTTCTGAAGGAATAAGTTAAGATTGTGCAGTTGAATCTATTAATCAAACAAGATTGCAGTCTTGTTGGGAGAGATCACGTGAGACAGTGGTGCGCTTTTGAACACGCACGTGGAGTGACTGGTCAGTGCGGACTGGTGCGTTGGCATCATGTCCGGCAGTCTTGTACAAGGCTTCCTCTGCTGGCCTCTTTGCTGTGTGATAAACAAGTCTGTGTGTTGTAACACATTGGACACTGATGTCACTCCTGTCTCCATGAGTGACTCATTGGGACCAAAATTGAGTAGTGTTTAAAATATTTCAGCATAGTAGGAAAGTCAGGCAGATTATTTTGCCTTTTCAAGTGTGTTGAAGACCAGAAGGTCGCCTGGGGAGTAACCTCTGCGCGTGTTGCCTTTCCTGCAGAAACGGACGATTATGCTGAAATCATAGATGAAGACGACACGTACACAATGCCCTCAAGTAAGTAGACCTCCAGTTGTGTCTTTGCGAAGTCTGATAGACAGTACATCGCAGTTGGGTTTTAGACGTGTGCTAACCTCCTCAGAGCCATTTTTTTTTAAGGTTTATTTATTTTTTATTGGAAAAGACAGACTTACAGAGAGGAGAAGCTCTCACAGTGGCCACAGTGGCTAGAGCTGAGCCGATCGGAATCCAGGAGCCAGGAGCAGGGTCCCAAGGCTTTGGGGCGGCCTCAACTACTTTGCCAGGCCACAAGCAGGGAGCTTGTTGGGAAGTGGAGCAGCTGGGACATGAACCGTCACCCATATGAGATTCAAGGCAAGGATTTAGCCACTGAGCCATCACACCAGACCCCTTAGAGCCGTTTGTAATACCTCACTGACAGCTTAGTAAAGATAATCCTTCGACTTTCAGGGTTTTGTGTTATATATGTCCTCTCAAATGAAGGTCAGAAGTATAGCACTCAGCTGTCTAATATTCAGTTTAGTTTCGGGATTTATGTATTCTTCTTGGCTCTGCAGAAATGAAATGTTCGATGATTGTCTCAGAAAATTAGTATTCCTTAAAGGTTACATAAGAATAAACATGCACACATACATATCCGGGAAATTGGAGTTGTTTGTCTTCATTGCTGTTGACCAAGCGGCGCAGCTAACTTGCAGGATGTAACCCCCGTACCGTGGGGCTGGCAGGTGTGCAGGGAGCTCCGAGCAGAGCTTCCGGGGCCAGCGGGGCAGACGCTAGTGCCATCCCCCTGCTCGGTCAGGGACGGTCGGCTCAGAGTGTGCATGTGTGCAGGGGAGAAGCCCTTAACTGCCGTTGCTATTAAACTTATAACCTGCCTTGGAAAGAGGCCCTGGAGGCAGTGGCAATTTGAAGTCTGAGGGTCTTAATTCTAAAAGAGCCACAGATGTTTGTAAAGTAAATATGTGTAATACTTCCATGATGTATGAATAGAAAAGATCCTCTCATTCACATTTTTCTTTCAATTGAAAAGACGTTATCAAAACTGAGAAACAGCCCCACACTCTGGGACTTGCACTGTGCCGGGCAGCTTCTGTCTGCGTTCAGGGAGCGCCTTGGTGAGTGAGGCAAGAGCTGACCGTGTGCGCCGACTGCCGTGGTGTGCTCAGTCTCACTCCACCAGGCTGAGGTTCATGTGCAGTTGCTGGGGTGGGAACTGAAGAGCCGGAAGTAACATCAAGCTAACTTGTAGATACTTTTTTTTCTTGTAGTTTCCTTTTTAAACTCATATTCATGCATAAAATGTTTTCAGAAGTAATTAATGAAATGTAATTTCCAAATATGCTATTGTTAAACTAATTACTATTAGTTATTTCTAAGCAAGGTCTTCAATTTTTCTCTCTCTCAAATGCAATCCAGAAAGCTATGGAATAGATAAAGGTAACAGGAACCTTCACTGCACTTGCAACCTACCGAGTGACATGGAATGTTTCAGTTTCAGTTAACTTGTATTTTTTTAAACTGCTTGTCATTGGTTTACTCATACTGTTAAATCAATGTAATTACTAGCTAAAGTGATTTTAAAGAGGAAAATGACTTATCTAAACTGGGGAATTGAATGTTCTGTATGATTTACAAGTGATTATTTGGCTCGTGGTCTGTCCCTCTGGTGGTCACGCGGCTGGAGCACGGCAGTGTGAGGCGTGGCTGCGTGTTCTGGAATCACAGCACCACACGCACAGCTGGGTGGGAGCCCAGCCTCTCAGTCCCTCGAGGTGGTTTTTCTTTCCCTGTGCCTCAGCAGCTTGCTAAGTGATTGGATACAAAACATGGCAGTCTAATATATTACCATGAGGCACTTGCTCTCAGAGGTAAAACCTGCTCACGGTTTGCCATGTTTGATTTCAAGTTATTTAATTTTGAAATTAGTTTTTAGTTTTAGAAATCAAGTTTATTTAATTTTGAAATTAGTTTTTACACCTCTTTAAATTCTTTTAGCTCCATAAATAATATAGAGATATTATTATAATGACGTGGAAAACTCTTAAACTTTGAAAATATAGGTTTACTCATGATACAGTTTTATGTTGCCTCTATAAAAATCTTAATTATTTCTAAAATAATTGCCTTAAGTAACTTTTAACTCCACATATTAATATCTCAACTAATAGTTCTTAATAATTGAGCATATAATTTAATGTTTGGGCCAATTATATAAAGATACCAAATAAATGGATAGAAGGTTAGACTTTCAAGAACTCCTAAGAGTAACGTGTAAAAAACTATTTTTAGTATAATTATTATTCAGTGGTTTGTCCAGTGCTGTATCTGATCAATACTTTGTCCTAAGTGACATAGTTTAAGAGAGTTCCACTGTGTGTAAGCATCTTCATGACGGGTGTACCAGATGTGAGACTCTGACTGCAGAAGTCCCAGTCGTTGCTGGTCTCTGGGTTAGGCTGCTGGGCCTTGGTGCTGACTGATATGTACATTATGTTTTGCAGCCAGGGATTATGAGATTCAGAGAGACAGAATAGAACTTGGGCGATGCATTGGAGAAGGCCAGTTTGGAGACGTGCATCAAGGGATGTACATGAGTCCAGTAAGTGCTGTAAGACTGTCGCGATCCAGGCTGATTCTGTGGAAATTGTCATCCTGAGTCCTTGCTTCTCCGGATTTTCACTTCTCTCTTTTGAAGCTCATCAGAATCAACTTGGTATATTTAGAAACCTCTCCCGCCCCCCAGGGACAGAATTTTCTCTTTGAAGGGCTGAGAAAGAACATAAGCCTTGGGGCATGCATTGGTGGTGGAATGGGTGAATGTTTGCATGAGATGGCTAGAGCTAAGCAGCAAGCCAGTGTCCACACTTGCCTACGTTTTCAAGACAAGAGTTTTAATTTGCCCTCTGAGAGAACAAATTTCAAAGTTTTTTTAAAGGTTGCCTCTAATTTGTTTGAAAGGCAGAGTTACAGGAGAGATCATCAACCACTGGCTGTTTCCCCAGGTGGCCGCATCATGCCTGGCTGAGCCAGGCCGAAGCCAGAGGCCTGGGGCTTCTGGTCTCCCACGTGAGGGCAAGGGCATGCATGCTCAGGAAGCCATCCTCTCACTTTGCCAGGCACTTGGGCAGCAAGCTGGGTCAGAACAGGAGCGGTGTGGTTCCCGCTGGCCGCAGAGGGGCTGCTGATGCTGCAGGCACCAGTATGCCATGCTGCGGCACAGTGCTGACCGTGCACCGGGCTCTTGGGAGAGTTGGGTGCCTTTCCGCTGGGTAGTCATGGCCACAGTTGGGTTTGCAACATTTCTTGACTTCACAAGACTTGATAATGCTCGCTGTCTGTGCTGCGCACTCTCAGTATCAGCCGCTTACCTGCTGCCTGTCTCAGTTTATACAGAAGACTTCATAGAGGCAGACTCATGCTTTGGTCTGCTCTCACATTTAGCTTCATGCCTTGCACATTCCTCCATTCCTGTGACTGCCATCACCTTTGCTTTCCGTTTCATCAGTTGACAGGTTAATAAAATGTGCATGCGTGAGATGGGTCTGAATATGTTAGCTATTCACTTTTGTCTGTAGCTAGAAGTAGAAGTGCTCCATCATATGATAGCTATGCTCAACTATTTTGAGGAACTAACAGACTGATTTCCAAGAACTGCATCATTTTATGTCCTTGCAGCATGGATAAAAGTGCCAGTATTGAGGCTGGTATGATGGCTCAGTTGGCTGATCTCTACCTGCAAGTACAGACATCCCATGTGGGCGCCCATTCGTGTCCCGGCAGCTCCACTTCCCATCCAGCTCCCTGCCTGTGGCCTGGGAAAGCAGTTGAGGACGGCCCAAAGCCTTGAGACTCTGCACCCGTGTGGGAGACCTAGAAGAAGCTCCTGGCTCCTGGCTCAGGATCAGCTCAGCTCTGGCTGTTTGGGGAGTGAACTAGCAGATGGAAAATCTTTCTGTCTCTCCTTCTCTATAAAAGGTGCCAATATTTTCACATTTGCGACAATACTGGTTATTGTATTTCTTGATTAAGTTAATGGCATTTGCAATTTCTTTTAAAAATAATAGTGTGTAATGCCTCAAAACCTTTGAGTAGCGGAGGCTCCAAGACCTCCTGTTGTCCACTGCAGCAGTTCACTCCCCAGATGCCTCCAGCAGCAGGACTGAGCCAAGAATGTCGCTGGAATCAGCCCTGTGCATGGCCAGAGCTCAGAGCCTGGAGCCCTGATGACTGCCAGAGCTAGGCACCAAGGCCAGCTGCCCCCGGTGGGATGCGGTTGCCCCAGCCCACTCCAGAACTCTGTGAATGCTCTCTTCGGATAGCAGCACAGACCATTGGTCCTGTTTGGATGCCCATACTGTGGAAACTGCAAGTGACTCCGTCTTTGTTGTTTGTTATCCTTGATATGTGAGATTGAACGTCACTTTTGTACCCCAGAAGTCAATTTGTTTAAAAAAAAAAATCATTTGCTGCTCAATAACTAACCTAATTAGAAGTTTAGGGCTTTGTTTTGTTTTGTTTTTGAGATGTATTTTATTTTTATTGGAAAGTCAGTTATAGAGAGGAGGAGAGACAGAGGGGAAGATCTTCGTTTCCCTAGTGGCTGCAATGACTGGAGCTGAGCTGAGCTGAAGCCAGGAGCCCAGAGCCTTTTCCGGGTCTCCCACACGGGTGCAGAGTCTTTCACTGCTTTCCCAGGCCACAGGCAGTGAGGAAGCTGGATGGGAAGTGAGGCCGCCGGGATTAGAACCGGCACCCATATGGGATCCCAGTGTGTGCAAGGCGAGGACTTTGGCTGCTAGGTTACTGCACAAGGCCCAGTTTGTTTGTGTATTTATTTACTTAGTTAGTTAGTTATTTGAAAGAGAGCAACAAACAGTTTTCCATATATTGGTTCATTCTGCAAGTGGCAGTCTGAGGGCTGTGTTAGCTGAAGCCAGGAAACAGGAACTTCTAGATCCCCCATGTGGGTACCGGGTCCCAGGACTTGGTCCATCCTCCTGCACTGCTTTCCCGGGTGAGTTAACAGAGAACTAGGTCTGAAATGGAGCAGATGGGACTCAGCCTAGCACCCTTGTGGGATCCTGGCACTGCAGCAAGGGGCCTCATGTGTTATGCCACATTGCCAGTCCCAGAAATTCAGTTTTTGGGGTTCTGTTTTGAAATTCTTTACTCTTGCACTTACATGAAGTTATAGATTTCTTCCGTACTTTGGCTTGTTGTTTATTCTTCTTTTTATTTGCTCTGTTATTTCACTTTGTGTTGCTTGTTAAGGAAAAGGTTGAAACGGTTACTATATCTATTTGAAAAGACCTAAATCCCACCAGACTATCCCTGCCTGAAAAATATAGCGAAGCCAAGCTTTGCACTGCCCACTGGCACAGCCAAGCCCGAGCTGCTTGCCGCGCTCCGCTCCCTACACCGGCATGCCAGCTCAGAGGACGGCTACTTGCGCATGTCACAAAGGTCTCAGCAGGGCGGGTGGACTGGACTCTCATTCCCTTTTGAAAAAAGTGCCTCGTTTTTGTTGTGAGAGAGAGTGGAGGAGCATTGAGTGCAAACAAGCTTTTCTTAGCTGGCGGACTCCTGGGCAGCCTCTGACAGGCGATGTGACAGCAGGAGGCACTACCCCCTGGCAGTTTCGGGCCCCAGCTCTAGGATCCAGCACCATTTCCCCCAGTCCATGTTAGCACTGGTGTCAGGCATTCCCACGTGGGGTGCTCTCACCACTAGGCCGGGCCTCTGCCCCCGACACTCATTTATAGTATCTACAATCTAGTATTAGCTTAAATACTTGTTTAATAAACCCTGCCCCTTGACAAATAGCAGAGCTCACATTGTGTTAACTCTTTTCTGATATTTGTGAATATGTTTGTTTTTATTGTGTAAGCTTAATTTTGTACTCCAAAGCAATTTTTAAGATTTCTTCTTCTTTTTTTTTAAATGGAAAGATATTTACACAGAGATAGACAAAGATATTCCACACACTGATTCACTCCCCAGATGGCCCAGTGGCTGCTGCTGAGGCCAATCTGAAGCCAGGAGTCAGCAGTCTCCTCCTGGTCTCCCACGTGGGTGCAGGGTCCCAAGGCTTTGGACCATCTTTACCTAAAACTGCCGTCCACAGTTTCCTATGGGATCCTGTTGATTTGCAGCAGCACAATACCTTTCCTTGGTTTTCCCTCGCTCGCCTGTCACCCCTGCGGGTCTCCTCTGCTCCCTGTCTTCACGCCAGCGTGGCCTGCAGCCTCCTTGGCCTCCGCAGGGATTTCACCTTTCCCAGGGATGTGAGCTCAGACTTGTCTGCTGCGCTGCCCATCCCACTGGAGGGATTCGTTATCTCTGTGGCATCACAAGCTTATCAGAGCTGAAGATGAGCTTCCTGTGCTGGACTCTCGGGCCCAATCCATAATCCCACTTCCTCAGCCCTTCTTCCTACTTCCTCTGCTGCTGCCATGCTTGTCCCAGCCACCCTTGCTCATCTGTCACCTGGTTCCATGCGCAGGCAGCATGAGCCCACTGTATGCCCTTGCCTCACTGCAGTCATTGCTCCGTGCCACAGCCCAGGTCCTACACATAGGGGCTCAGGCCTCCATTCCCCATCCTAGCAATTAGATGAGAAGCCGCATCTTTGCGGACCTGCAGCGCCCTCTGTTGCCTGGCATTTCCATCCTCTGGCCTTGACGCGCTCTACAAACACTCAACAGTGGGATCTGCCCCATGCCCCTGGTAACTCAGCTTCTCACACATGACTTCACTGCCTTGCCGGGCCTGTTGCCTCTGCCTTCACTGGCCCGTCACAAAGCATAGAGTCGAAGGTTGCATTGTCAGTCAATAGCCTGTGGCATGTCACAGCCATATCCCTCTTTTACTGTGGGTTTTATACCAACTGGCTGTATTTTAAGTATTCTTACCATTCTTGGAAGATTTTGGAGGTTTGAGTCCAGTTGATCTGGAATCCTGTAGTTGCAATACAGAAAGCCCCTCGTGAGTGTACCCACTGATTAGTACAGAGAGCCTTTCCACGTTTGTGTGATTCTGTACTTTTCCTAACAGGAGAATCCAGCTTTGGCGGTTGCAATTAAAACATGTAAAAACTGCTCCTCGGACAGCGTGAGAGAGAAATTTCTCCAAGAAGCCTGTAAGTTTCATTTCTGTGGAACTCCATGTGACTTTGTGTCTTTGAGTTCAAAATGTCTCTAAAGAAGTGAGAAAAATAACTTAGTTTGCACAGGCCCGTCCTCACAGGGGCTGTGTTATATGGCATGGAGTTAATTCTTCCTGCTTCACATTTTATAAATACATTTATTACAGAATAAGTCATGTTGTGACTTCAATCAATTAAGTCTAACTGCATCCTTAACCCTGTTCTTGAATCTGACTTAAGTACAATACAAAGCCTGGCCAGTAGCTTGTTTTCTTTGTTTTTGTCGTGAGAGACAAGTCTTTTACTTCCCATAACAAATTTGGCTGTGCCATGCTTAATCCAGGAACGCTATCTGGTTCTCCCATATAGGTGACAAGGATTCAAACACTGGGCTCTTTAGCAGGGAGCTGCATTAAAGCCAAGGAGCAGTGCACAGCGCCCCTAGTGGCGGTCCTGCTGCACCGCAGCACCTGCCCGTTCCCCATGCTGTCATCTGGACTGTTGCCTTTCTGAATGCATGTAGGGCCAGAAAACAGACTGCAGCAGACATCAGGAACTAGCTGCTGCTGTGCCTTTAGTGGTGTTCTTATATGTTGAACACTTTTTTAAAATGCAAGTTGTAAAAATTGGTTATCTTTTTCTGCAACTGTTCTGAATAGATATTGTGTTTTGGTGGGGCTTTGAAGTCATTACAAAATTAATTCTGTTATTTTGTAGGAGTAGTCAGGTCAGACTAAGCTTGTTTTGTTCTTGTAAAGCTTATTTGGCTGTTATTTCAGGGAAGTGCAATCTATTTAAGGTATCTGCACTTTAAAAAAAATTATATTTAATTTCTATTTGAAAGTCAGATATACAGAGAGAAGGAGAGAAAAAGATCTCTGTCCACTGGCTGGCTTCCCAAGTGGCCACAGTGACTGTAGCTGAGAGAATCTGAAGCCAGTAGTCGGGACCCTCTTCCGGGTCTCCCGTGCTGTACAGGGTACCAAAGCTTTGGGCCGTCCTCAACTGCTTACCCAGGCCACAGGCAGGGAGCTGGATGGGAAGTGGAGCAGCTGGGATACAAACTAGCACCCATGTGGGATCCCAGTGCCTACAAGGTGAGAACTTTAGCCGCTAGACTACTGCATTGGGCCCTTGGAGTCGTAAAAGCCTCCGGAGGGGTACATGGTCTGTTTACTCCTGGATGGGTTATTCAGCTTTTCTGTAAAGGTCCTGGCAGTGGCTCCCTCAGGCTGTACAGACTCTGCTGGTACTCAGCCCTGGGGTGCTGTGAAACTTCCTTGGACCATTTCAAAGGAGTGAGTAGGACTGGGTGCCAGTGAGATTTCCCTTTCCAGAATTGGGAGGCAGCCTGGACCCTGGCCTCTGGCCCCCTGGCCCAGACCACTAACGGGTTAAAGTTGCTAGTGATGTTTTGCTTAGCATGGGCACATTTTTTTGTGCTTGTAAGGTTCTAGTTAGTATTCTGCTGGCATTTTTAGTAGTTGCTTCAGAGGAAATATGTAAAGACCTGATCATATAAAATTAGACATAAAGCTTTAAAATTTGCTAATAATAAATTGAAAATAAGAGTAAATATGTTTGGTGCCTGAATGTTTATTGCAATATGCTTAAGCACTCTATCTGACAAATAAATGTTGTGGGATTGCTTTGAATTTTGTACTGCATATTTACATTTTTCCCTTTTTTTAAAAAGATTGATTTATTTTTATTACAAAGTCAGATATAGAGAGGAGGAGAGACAGAAAGGAAGGTCTTCCATCTGATGATTCACTCCCCAAGTGAGCGCAACGGCTGGTGCTATGCCGATCCGGAGCCAGGAGCCAGGAACTTCCTCCAGGTCTCCTACACAGGTGCAGGATCCCAAAGCATTGGGCCGTCCTCGACTGCTTTCCCAGGCCACAAGCAGGGAGCTGGATGGGAAGTGGAGCTGCCGGGATTAGAACCGGCGCCCATATGGGATCCTGGCATGTTCAAGGCGAGGACTTTAGCAGCTAGGCTATGCCACCAGGCCCCTTTTTTTAAAATTTGTTTGCAAGGCAGAGTTAGTAAGAGAGAGACAGATCTTCATTCCACAGTTCACTCTGGAAATGGCCAAGATAGCTGGAGCTGGGCCAGGCCACAGCGAGGACCCTGCAGCTCCATCAGGGCCTATGCATGGGTGCCAGGGACTCAAGGATTTGGGCCGTTTCCCACTGCTTTCCTGAGTGCATGAGTGATGCGTGGTAGGAAATGAAGCAGCTTGGAGACAAGTGACATCCATGTGGGACGCTGGCGCTGCAGACAGCAGCTTTCATCTACTGTGCCACAACGCCAGCCCTACCCTTTTACTTTTCGTGTTACATAAAAACCAGCAGAACCATTCCTAGAGTATGGAGAAGGAAGGATGTAAATGAGTAAATCCAAGTGTCTGCTCAGCTCAGTCTTTGATCCCAGTTGCCCAATGCTCCGAGTGACTGTGAACGCTTTTCCTTAGTGACCATGCGTCAGTTTGACCACCCTCATATTGTGAAGCTTATTGGCGTTATCACGGAGAACCCCGTCTGGATAATCATGGAGCTGTGCACGCTTGGAGAGGTACTGTGAACCCAGACCTCGCTTGGCCTAGGCCTGGCGACCCCCAGCCATCTCAGGCTCCAGAGTGCTTGAGTGTGCCTGTGGTGCTGGATCTGCCCTGATAGCGCAATAGATGCAATATGTGTCTTAGATTTGGGGATATTTGTTGTGCTTTGAATGCAAAGGTGTGGGTATAAGTGGCTTTATCATTACGTTCCTCCATACTCCCCACTCAGCACTTCTGCTGCCCAGGTTTTATCAGGACTAAGTAGCAACAAGGGACCAGCTTTGCTGTCTGGGCCAATGCCTACAGGAGTCCAATGATTGGAAGAAGAAACAGTATTGATGGGCAAATGAATGCTGAATTTAGTTACATCTGACCACCTTTTAAAGATTTATTTATATATTTGAAAGAGTTATGCAAAGGAGGGTGGGGGAAAGAAGGCCAAACACACACACACACACGCGTGCGCACACACACACACACACACACACGTATGTCTTCTGTCTATTGGTTCATTCCTCAAATGGCTGTAGGTGGCTGGAACTCAGCTGGTCCAAAGTTAGGAGCTGCTACCTGGTCTCCCACATGGGGCAGAGACCCAAGCACATAGCAGGTAACTGGATAGGCCAGGACTCAAACCAGTGCCCAAATCAGATGCTGACGTGGTACCCTCTGTGCCACAGCACTGACCCAAGTGGAGGCTCAACTCACTGCACCAAGCCTGCACCCAAGAGCACTTCATATTTTGTTATACTTTTATTTATTCCCTTGAAGCATAGTTTCCTAAATTTTTAGAGAAACTTGTCTGTAGTCAGCAAGGCTCTGATTTCATGTTAAGATTTCAGATGAAGTAGGGTTATTACACTTTCTGAATTAAAATGTTTAATTCATTACACTTTGTTATTCTGAAAGAATTAAAAGCTAAACATGAGTTTCAGATGGGCGGCATTGCTGCTAACTGTAGTGTGTTGCAATGGATTGCTGAGCTCTGTTCCTAATTCGTTTCTCTCTTTTGTCTTGGCATTGTTTCCAAAGCTGAGGTCGTTTTTGCAAGTAAGGAAATACAGTTTGGATCTAGCATCCTTGATCCTGTATGCTTATCAGCTTAGCACAGCTCTTGCATATCTAGAGAGCAAAAGATTCGTACACAGGTAAGATTCCATCGTAAAACTGGGAGTTCCTTCTGAGCAAGCAAAGCAGACAGACTCTGTTCTCACTGGAGCCCTTGGTGCCTGTGAGGCTGCACCACAGTGACTAGAGTCCTGCCAGAGTGGAGAAGCATGGCTTACTAATATACAGAAAGGGAGAGTTACTCCTTCAGCAAATGCTGCCAAGCTCCTGTACTTGATTAGGGCAAAGGGAATGGTTCCCAGAGCAGACAGCGTTCTGGGACTTTCCAGAACACCACGGTGTCACGCACCATTGATGCGTGTTGGCCTTTTGTGGAATTTCTGTTTCTAGTGGATGTATCTGTAGTTTGAATGCAGGTGGGAGAATTTAAAATTTGTTTACCCCATACTGTGTTAGAATTAATGTTTTGCCACCCAACATTAAAATAAACTACATGTGCAAAATCAATTGCAGGTATGTAAATCCCAACTGTCCTCTTTGAATGAGGTCTCATTAGTAATGGCCCAGTTGGACCCCACTCCTGTGTCACTGCTCATCAGCTGGTGCAAGTGATCGTTTGACAAAAACTAGCATTTTTACTAGAGAATGTTCGCTCATCATTAAAAAAAGAGTGTATATAAAGTGAGTTAATTAATGCATACCTTTTCTAGATCTGTTTGTGTTGTATCTTAGCTGTCATTCAAGTAGTGATAAGTGTATTTTTAACATAATGTAGTTTAGTTTATGGATGTTCTTCCTGTGTTGTAGAATTTATTGTGCTAAATTCTTCCCTATCCAGGGATATAGCAGCTCGGAATGTTCTTGTGTCCTCAAATGATTGTGTGAAATTAGGAGACTTTGGACTGTCCCGCTATATGGAAGATAGTACTTACTACAAAGGTAAGACCAGAAATCCCTAATCCCTAATGTGTTCCTTTCTCTCTCTCTCTTTTTTATTGGAAAGGCAGGTACACAGAGAGGAGGAGAGACAGAGAGGAAGATCTTCTGTCTGTTGATTCATTCCCTAAATGGCCGCAATGGCCGGAACTGAGCCGATCCAAAGCCAGGAGCCCGGAGCTTTTTCCTGGTCTCCCACATGGATGCAGTTTCCCAAGGCTTTGGGCTGTCCTCAACTGCTTTCCCAGGCCACAGGCAGGGAGCTGAATGGGAAGTGGGGCTGCCAGGATTAGAACCGGCGCCCATATGGGATCCCAGTGCGTACAAGGCGAAGACTTTAGCTGCTAGGCTACCATGCTGGGTCCAGTGTGTTCCTTTCTGTTTAAAAAGTGTGTTCTGGTCTGCTTTACTGAGGTTAGGACAGACAGGACTCTGTGCCCATGGACTGGCGCAGTGGGCCGTCCTCCACAGAAACCTGTCTAGATGGTCTCGACTGTCCAGGGTTTAAGGGAAAGGCATATAGGTATCAATCTTTATGATCCAGGACTGACAGAGGAGCTTTAGACTTTATAGCAAAAACAAAGAGCCATTAAAGCTAAAAACTGATCAGTTGGACATGAAAATTAGGAATTAAAAATTATTCTATATATAAGAAAATGCTAACTTCGTGAACAGAAAGCTTTGTTATGACTGTGGTCAGGCCGCCCCCTTGGCTGGGTGTCTGGGGAAGGCAATGATGTGCAGAGGTGGGGGGCAGGCACAGTAGGGGCCCACACGGGCTCCTAGAGCCACCCTCCATGAACACCCCCACCTGCAGGCACACACCCTGACCCCAGAACTTCCTTCTTGCCCACCTTCGGACACTGTAATTGCATCAGGTTCCAACCCCCTTGAGCTGTTAACTTATCAATAGACAGCTGCCTGAGTTTAAGGATAAGTAATATTCAGTCTATGACAGAATCTGTAAGAAAGCTGAAAATATAAGCTATGAGTTAGAAAAAATTATTTCCCAACTATGAAGATTGATTGATTGATTTGAAAGAGTTAGAGAGGTCTTCCGTCCGCAGGTTGACTTGCCCTGATGCCTTAATAGCTAGCACTGAGCTAGCTAAAACCAAGAGGCAGAAGCTTCTCCCAAGTCTCACACATGGGTTGCAGGACCCTGAACAGTTGGGCCATTTTCTGCTGCTTTTCCAGGCCATTAACCAGGAGCTAGATCAAAAGTGGAGCAGCTGGGACTCAGCCAAGTTCTTCTCTGGGAAGCCTGTGTTATAGGGAGTGGCTTTGCCTGCTGTGTCACAGTACTATCCCAGCAGATTCTTTTAAAATTAAACATAGAGGTACCCTACAAAACAGCCTGTATGTTCCTAGGCATGGATCTCAAATAAATGAATGAATACTTCCTCTTGGATATTGAGTGCCATTTTATCTTTAATGGCCAGAAGTTGTTATCAACCCACAGATGTTTAGACTGATCTGACAGTTAATACCTGACAGCAGAGTGAGAGAGTGACCCATGAGTATTTGGTCTACTTACTCTAGTTCCTCTTACTTCTATCTCTCCCCCTCCATTTTTTGTTCTCTTCCTCCCTTTTAGATTAAATAAAACTTTTTTTTAAAAACAATTATTTTTTATGGGAAAATCAGATATACAGAGAGGAGGAGAGACAGAGAGGAAGATCTTTCGCCTGATGGTTCACTCTGCAAGTGACTGCAACCAGCCAGAGCTGAGCCAATCTGAAACCAGGAACCCAGAGCTTCCTTGAGCTTTCCCACGCAGGTGCAGGGTGCCAAGGCTTTGGGTTGTCTTCAGGTGCTTTCCCAGGCCATTAGCAGGGAGCTGGATGGGAAGCAGGGCCGCCGGTATCAGAGCCTGTGCCCATATGCGATCCCAGTGTGTGCAAGGCACGGACTTTCTCTGCTAGATTACCACACCAGGCCCAAGTGTTGTTTTTTTTAACAAAATGCCATGCCTCAAATCTGAAGATTTTTTAAAAGATGAAATCAATTTTTACTGTATTGGAATCCATTTCACATTTCCAGCTCAGATCTTGACTATCCAAGTATTTGAATTTCAGTAATGAGATAAATTCTTAGTATGAGTATCAAGATTAAACACACTTCATTTAAGAACTTCACAAATTCGCACAAATATTAACATGTCAGAAAGGTAAGTGTAGACTCCCTGGAGTTTGGTAAAGTCTAAAATGGCCCTGCGGTGCGGATTCTGAAAGTCTGCAGAGATGCTCGTGGCCTGCAGACGGCAGTTCTACCCGCCTGTGTGGGAGACCTGCATGGAGTTCTAGGCAGGAGTAGACTCGTAGACACAGATCTCTGTCTGTCTCTGTTCTCTTTGTTATGTGTGTCTGTGTCTGCCTTTCCAATAAGAAGGGAGAAGTATATAATACTTGTTTAAAGAGAACCTTTTGTATCTTCTCCCCTTTTCTCTCTTCACATACATGGATCCTGTATTTGTGCATCTGCCTTTTGTTGAGTTTCACTGGTAGACCCCTCAAACCAGTTCTTGGTGCTTTTCATTCAAGGACACGCGCAGGGCAGCATGAACGTTATCTCCCCAGTCAGCAAATTGTCAAGTGAGATCGAGCCCTGGGCACTCCCTCCTGTCTCAGCTGGGGTCTGGGTTGGAAAGAGCGGCACAGCAGAGCCAGGGGCAGGGAGTTTGGTTCCCAGCTCACACACCTGTTAGTGGAGTGGCCTCCTGCAAGTCACTGAACATGTGTGAGCCTCACAGAAATGAGTTGTAGATGGTCTAAGTCCATGGTGGCAGTGCGTGCACGCGTGCCCTGGGAGCATTGCTGCATGTTGGTGACAAGCACCAGGGAGGAACGAGGGTCCGCGCCCGGGGAGCTGCAGGCCAGCACCTCCGCCCTCCCGGGACGTGCTGCGTCTGTAGAAGGGAGGACATCAGTGTTGAGTCACCTGGCCCCAAGTGACATGAGAGCCCCGAGTGCTTCTCCCAACTGTAGGGGAAGCTTCTCAGCTTGATACTGAAGCATCTCAGCTAATTCTGTTAAGAGTTTAAGGGAAAATTTATTTTCTAACATTAATCTTCTAGCTTCCAAAGGAAAATTGCCTATTAAGTGGATGGCTCCAGAGTCCATCAATTTTCGACGTTTTACCTCAGCTAGTGACGTATGGATGTTTGGTGAGTATTTTTTTACTTGGTATTTTTAAAAGTTGTGTTTCTTATATCCTACAAACTTAACTTAGCCTACGGTCTATTTTCAGAATCTGTGGGTTGGTTGGCCTTCCCTAACTGACCGTCTTCACCAGATTCTGTAGTTGCCTCTGGGCCGTGTTGCTGAGAATGCCCATGTCTTGTGCTGCAGCCTTGTCCAGGCTCCGGTCACGTCCCACCATGCTGACCCTCACAGCTCCTCCTCGGTCCTGCAGGGGAGGTACCTTGTCTGTTTCCGTCTTTCTTGCTCCTCTCCCCTTGGCCATCTTGTTCTTCCCTGTAATGTGAATGGCTGAGCAGTCACGTGTCTTCCTGGCTCTGTGATATCCGTCTGTTCCAGAATATCTCAAGTTGTGCCTCATCACTTTATTCTGGCGTCTAATCTTCCTGACTTGGTTACTAGAGCCTTCATCTTTTGTAACACTCGCTCCTCTGTCTACTTTGTCCGTTCCTGCCCTCTCTGGAGTCCTTGTCCTCGTCCCTCTGTCCTGTGGACTGCCGCAGACCCGCCCAACTGGAGCGCATGTGTGGCTCCGGCTCACTGCAGCCACATTTCAGAGTCACGCTTGTGTCTTCACGCGGCTCTGCTGGTGTCTGCCCTCTGTGGATGTCCCAGCCCTGGGCTTGCTCCTCCTACTGGAATCTCGTCTTCCCTTTCAGTGCTCCTCTTTCGGGAAGCCCTGAGCAGGATGCTGTCTTCCCTCTCTGCATGTCGTGTTGGCTGTGCATTGTCTTTGCTCAGGGGAGACAGCCTGTGGACTTTATCATGTTCCTCTTTTCTCCTGCAAATAAAGATAACTTTATGTATTAAACATTCTTTTTCTGTTTATGTACTGTTGATTTGTAGTAAACGTTTTAGTATCCCAGTTTAGTTAGATATAGGAAGGAACTTTCCAGTAATATAAGAAATGGCATGACATAATGGGACAAGGTTTTGGAGCCCATCTGATGTGGTTTTAAATGCAAGGCTTTCCTTGCTTAATTAGTCTGTAACCTGCAGAACAAGAAGCTTGCTGCCTCAAGAAAATTCCACAATTTAAAGATTCGGATAGGCCAATATTGCTTTACCCAGGGACATTGGTGTATTTTAAAATCAATGACATTTTACAGTTGACCTTAACTGAAAGCATGTTTTACTTAGCTGTTCTTGCTTGCTTTAGTGTGGGCTGTAACTATTTCGTTCATATTGTTACTCTAATGCCCAGATGAATTTAAAAGAGCTCTTTAGGTAAGAATAAAATTTAAAATTCTAAGAGGTAAGAAAAGATTATAATACTATAATGTAGTTGACAGTATTCCCTAGCCCACCTTTTGTTATATAAAATAATTCCCGGTCATTGGTGTCATGTTAGATTTAGTTTAATAAAATACAACATGTAGAGAAATGTAAGGCTGTTGTGAGAAGTGGGGAATGTATGTGGGTCTCCAGAAGACGGTGCCAGGTAGATATTTAATCCTCAAGAAATGATAACGGATGGTATTATTACTTAATAGTAGTGATAATACTACAGTATCTGCCAGGGGCATTGCTCTGCTCAGACTTTGCTATGAAATGACTGGATTTCTGACTAATTTCAGAATCAGGTTTGCCCAAATGTTTTGATGTGACTTATGTTCCTTGAGTTGGCACTGCAGATATAAAATAAAGTCATGCCCTGCTCTTCAAGCACAGGTGTACAACGTGTTATAGGATAGGCAGTAGCTCCTAGAGACCAACCAAGAAAGGTCCACGGGAGAAAAGTGCTGGGAGTGTGACTGGAGGCGGGAGGCTGGGAGTGCCAGGCCTGCGTACAGTGACGTGTCTGTGGCCTGGCAGCTTTAGAAGGTGACAAGAGGTACAGAAGAGCCAGAGCGGCAACCAAAGGATACTGGGAGAAAATACCACCCTTTATTTCACTGTCTTTTTTTTTTTTTTTAAGATTTATTTATTTTCATTGCAAAATCAGATATACAAAGAGGAGAGACAGAGAGGAAGATCTTCTGTCCGTTGATTCACTCCCAAGCAGCTGCAATGGCTGGAGCTGAGCCAATCCAAAGCCGGGAGCCCAGAGCATCCACCAGATCTCCCACACGGGCGCAGGGTCTCAAGGCTTTAGGCGTTCCTCGACTGCTCTCCCAGGCCGCAGACAGGAAGCCAGATGGGAAGCAGGGGCCACCAAAATTATTACCGGCACATGTATGAGATCCCGGCATTCAGGGCAAGGACTCTTGCCACTACACTATTGTGCTGGGCTCTCATGGTCTACTTTCATTGTTACCTTTCCTTCATTGCATTATATTGGGCACAGTCTCAGGGTTTTCTGTTTTGTTGGTTTTGGTATTCCCCCAAGGTTTATTACAGTGGGAGAAACAGACAAAGAGAGGTGTTTGATCTGCCGGCTCACTCCCTAAACAGCCACAACAGCCAGCGATGGGTCATGATGAAACTCGGAGCTAGGAGCTTGTTCCAGGTCTGCTGTGTGGGTGCAGGGCCCACGCACGTGTTCCAGGTCTGCTGTGTGGGTGCAGGGCTCAAGCTCCTGGCTCGTCCTCTGCTGCTTTCCCAGGTGCATTAGCAGGGAGTAGATTGGAAGTGGGAGATCCAGGACTAGAACCAGTGCCCATATGGGATGCTGGTATGGCATGTTTAACCCACTACACCACAATGCTGGCCCTAGTTTTTTTTTTTTTTGTAAGATTTATATATTTTTATTGGAAAGTCAGATATACAGAGAGGAAAGACAGAGGAAGATCTTCCGTGGCTGATTCACTCCCCAAGTGGTTGTAATGGCCAGAGCTGTGCCTATCTAAAGCCAGGATCCAGGAACCTCTTTCAGGACTCCCACCTGGGTGCAGGGTTCCAGCCCACAAGCAGGGAGCACGATGGGAAGTGGGGCTGCTGGTACCCATATGGGATCCTGGCAATTGCAAAGTGAGGACTTTTTAGCCACTAGGCTACTGCACCAGGCTTCCTAGTTTGTTTTAAAGGCAGATTCTTAATAGGGTTATTTAAAAGTTCAAGAGAAAGTTATTTTCGACCGTGAAGTCCAAACGAACTTTCTGAGGTCATCGTGTAGTTTCTAGATGGGATCACTGGCATCAGTTGACAGTACTTAGCTGCACTGTGGCAAGGGCAGCATTGTTAGGGATCCTGAGTTGTCTAAAAGCATGAGACTTAAATTTTTTCTTTCTCTTTTTTTTTCTTTCAGTTTGGTCTTAAGTCAGCTATTGAAATAAGTTGTACTAAAGGAGAAGGGAATCTAACATCCAACTAAGTGTATTTTTTTAAATGGTTCATTAAGCCATGCACTAGCACCCTAACTGGTGGTCCATCTTCTAAAGTATGATTTTCAGAGAGAACTAAAGATTTTGTGAGCACATCGTGATGAAGCACTTGTTGCACTTGTGTTACTGTCCAGCTGTTTACTGCTTTGGATGTGTGAGCGATGCTCACCGCTCCAGCTGCGAAGCCGTTCCTGAGACGGGAAGGTCACTCGGGCTGCGCTCACTGTGGTGTTTTCGTTCCCACTTCACAGGTGTATGTATGTGGGAGATACTGATGCATGGTGTGAAGCCTTTTCAAGGAGTGAAGAACAATGATGTGATCGGTCGGATTGAAAATGGGGAAAGATTACCAATGCCTCCAAATTGTCCTCCCACCCTCTACAGCCTTATGACGAAATGCTGGGCCTATGACCCCAGCAGGCGGCCCAGGTTTACTGAACTTAAAGCTCAGCTCAGGTAGGAGCGGGGGTGGAGAGGGCCTGGGCTGGGGGCAGTCTGTGCTGCTTCTCCTTGGCAGTGCGCAGCCTTTGGAGACCACTGTATCACAACGTCCACAGCTGAACTATTATCCCTTAGAGAAGCACAATTTGTAGAGTTGACTTACATTTCTCTGTATGTTGCACGGTCTTACGTGTGTTATGTCTGAGAATCTGCTTAATAAAGTCCCAGTCCTGATCGTGTATCTTCCCCCTGCTTTTGGGGTTAGAATGTCTTCTCGGGCCATGATAGTGCAGACCATGCTAGCCACTCTGGGCACCTTCCCGCAGCCCCCTGGTCCTTTGTGCCCCTCAGCACCTGACTTCTCTGCCCTTCACATGAACTGCCCTCTGATGAGCTCCTGTTCAGTCTTTGGAAACCAGCTCAGATGTTACCTCTTTCCGGAAACTTTCCCGACCAACCCTACCTCCAGTTCCATGACTGCGTTTTAGACATCTGGTCTCTGTTCAGATGCCGTTCTGTGGCTGGCTTTGTGCTCAGCACTGTTAGACCCCAAAGTTTTACCAGCTCCCCATTCCCTGGGGGCTACCAACACCCAGTAAGCATCCTCAGAGAGGTTGGCACTAGAACCTGGAGCTCCTGGCAGCTGTCCCTGCATACTCACTGCCCCGCTTAGGACCAGTCACCATGAGTGCTGAGTTAGCGTTTGAGCTAAATTGAATTGAGGTCCACACTGAGCCCTAATCTTTGTCTGAGTAGTATGTTGAGTGTGGCACACGGGCATGAGGAACTTGACTTTAGAAACAATGTTAAGGGTCAGCCTGTATTTGCAGATTTGGGTACTTCCCTCATTTTGTGTGATTTTGGTTTGTTGCCTAGGTTATTGCCTAGGCTTGTTGCAAGTCTCAGGATCTGTAAGATCCTGCAAGCCTGTCCAGACCCGCCTTCTCAGCTGGAGCTCTAGGCTCTGGCCACCGCACATCTTGCAGCAGGTCAGCCTACAGGGAAGAGGCGAGGTGGGCAGAAGCCTAAGGGTCATGCAGTCTGCAGACATTTTTGATCTGAGCTAGGCTTCAGAGCAGCCTAATCCCTGCCCCAGCGTGGAGGAGGAGGAGGAGACTGAGATGTCTGGGATGCCCTGGGAGCAAGGCTGTGTGCCCAGCCAGCGCTGGGCCCCTGGCTTCACTCCCCAGGGCCCTGCAGAATGCCAGTCTGCCTTCTCCCAGGATGGGGTGCAAGTATTTCTATCCAGACAGCCATCCCACCTCTTCTCTGTTTCTTTCAAGTTGAGAATCTAACTTAACTAATTCTCATAAAGCTTAATGATGTAACCACTTACTATTATAGGTAGTTTTTTTGAACAGTTTCTCTTGTTTTGCTCTTACTGGTTTTTAATTGTCCTGCCTTGATCTTTGTTCCCTCTGACCTCCTTCCCCTCACTGACTTGCTTTTCCTCCACTGTTACGCAGTCTAAGCCAAACTTTGTCTTCACCTCCTCTTGCTAGTCTTCCTGCTGGGCTGTCTTAGCCATTCCTCCGGCCGTGTGCCTCCACTGTCTCGCTCAAGCTTAGTCCTTCCCTTGTCGCACAAGTCCCAAGCCCCAAGCTGTGTGTGTTCCAGCTTTCCAGCCCAACATCATCCTCATGGGAAAAGCTCAGCTGTCGCTCCCCACCTCCTGCAAGTTAGAGGGGGCCTTTCCTTCATTGCAAGTGGGGGTCCCCCTTCTCCCAGCTGTCTGGCAGAGCTCACTCAGGCAGCTTTTGGGAACATCACTGTGGGAAAATTCTCTGCTCAAAACAATTCCAACTGATTCTGTCGCTCTTCATATTTGGGTAAGGGTTCCCAGTGTGGCCGTTACACCTGCTGCCCCCATGCCGGCCCTTTGACTGGCTGTGCTGCGGGCCCTGAGCCTGGAGGGCCCGTCTGCTCTGTGTAAGTCCACCCGTCTTAGCTGCTTCCACACCTGGCTTTCCTGTGACTTCTGGCTGCCCTGCCTCCACCAGAGCCGTTCCAGCTCTGTATTCTTTTGGTCTCCCTCGGGCTGCTCCCCCTTTCAGTTCAGCTGGACGACCCTGTAGAGCACCTGCACCCATCAAGCCCGTGTCAGTCCCTGGGCCGAGCTGCCTGACCCGCCTTTCTTGCCCTGAGGAGATCCCAGTCTAGCGTATCTCAGCCCTACTAGAAGGAAACTCCCCAAGGGCTGGAGTTGCCCTCTGCTCTTCAGGGCCCGGCTAGGGTCGGCCTGACTCTGGACTCGTGGCTTGGTGCGCCCACGCTCATTTCCTCATTGGTCTCGGGATTATTGCATTCAGGCAAATTCCCGGCAAACACTATCTGTCCCAGACACGTTGCCTGTTAGTGATGACTAGTTTGCAATGGACCTGTGCCCTTGTGCTGTGGCTCCTTTGTGCGTTTAGCACAGGTGTTCCGCCTTGTTCTACTTCGAATCGGACATTTCATACGGTGACCACCACATAGGCCAATGAAACAGCACTATAATAATTTGTGCAGAATTAAAGATGTCTTTTCAAGATTTATAGTGTAGTCAGGACTTAATAAATAATAAATCGTATACCCGTATGCATATCATAGTATTTAAAAACATTTCCCAAATCCCATCTTCTTTCCTAAAAGAAAACACTGCAGATGGACTCAGGTCATCCTGGATCCCACTCACCTGCAGCCGGACTCCAGATTCTTGCTGCATTAGTGAGAAAGTGACTTTCAGGATGAAACTTGTAAGGTAAAATCATAGGAAAGTTACTTTGGTCACACTTTGATGAGTTGATTCGTGTGACTCAAAGAGCCTGTCTTCCTCACATCCTGTTTCCTGTTCGTCGGCACGAGTTCGTGGCCCAGTAGGAGGAGCTTCATCTAGTGGATGGCTGAGCACCAAGTGTAGAATCTTCCTGTGTAGGAATAGTGTAAGTGATCGGCTGTGGGCGGTCTAATAATACAGATGCTGTAGCATTTGTGTGCTGGCAGGTTATTAAGAATGCAGTAGTAGTTTTTGAATGAGAAGTCATTTAACCCTGGTCAGCTTTTGTCAGTGCTTTGTTAGTACCACGTCAAGAGAATAGCTTTCGTGGTTTGCTCTTTTGGAGCTTACCTTCAAACGCTGTGCCAGCAGTGTTGTGCTTGCCTCTGCAGTGTTTGTGCCACAGTAAAAAAATAAAAGGGAGTATTAGTTTGAAAGATCAAAAGGGAACATTTATTTGAAAGATCAAATTAGGGAGAGAGATCAGTTGGTCTTCCACCTGCCGATTCCTTCCCTGAACAGCTGCAGCGGCCGGGGCCGGACCAGGCCGAAGCCAGGAGCTGGAGTTGTTCTGAGACTCCTGGAGAAGGGCCCAACACCTGGGCTGACATCTGTTGCTCTGCGTCACAGGTGGCGCAGTGGGGACCTAAGCCAGCCACGACACAGATTGCCAGCACTGCAGCTGGTGCCTTTACTTCCGCAATGTGACACCGGCCACAGAATGTTAGTTTTGATCTCAATTTAGGGAAACATCTAAGTTAAATTTCCTAAATCTTTTTAAATTAATTACAGTAACATAAAACAAAATTATCAGTTTTGATTTTGTGGCATATATCACTAAATTGAAATATTCAGTGAATTTTCACATATTAGATGTAACATCTAACCAGTAACCAGGTCAAGAAAACACCCGCAAGCCAGCAACTGCCCTGTCTCTGCTCGTCCTCCAGGGGTCACTGCTGTCCCGACCCTGGAGTGGTCTGACCTGTTTTGAGTAGGTTCAGGCATTCTGTGCCTATGCATGTGGCTCACCATAACTCCTCCAGCAGACTGGGGAGTCGTCGGTGCTACACACGCAGGCAGAATCCATCCTCAGCGCTGTGATATGCAGCGGTTGAGAAGATGTTACAGTTCACCTTGTCCTTTGTAGGTAGGAGTTAAAACTCTGCTTTGGCTGCATCAGGACTATCACCCTTCAGGATTGACATTTGACGCTGGCATCTCCTGTTTGAGTCCTGGCTCCTCACACATCCTGGAAAGCAGTGGGAGATGGCCCATGTGTAGGGCCCCTGCACGTACCTGGGAGCGCTGGGAGAGGCTCCTGTCTGCTGATAGGCTTGCCTCCAGCCATTGCGGCCGTTTGAAGAATGAACTGGCAAGTGGACAATCAGTCTCTTCCCCTGCCTCTTTCAGAGGCATTTTAAATTTAAAAAGGAAATCTTTTAAAAAGGATATTACCTTTTAAAAATAAGAGTATCTTTTAGTGAGCCTCATAGACAGCTGTTTCTGTTGAGTGAATTTTTGCAAGTTGGAGAGTGTGTGCAGTTTTAGCTTTATCGGATGCTGCCAGCTCTCCACAGCAGTTGTAACAACGTACAGTGAGTGCTTCCAACAGTGTGTTCCGCATGGGTGCAGTGGCCCAGGACCTGAGCTGTCTTCCCGCTGCTTTCCCAGGCCATAAGCAGAATGCTGTATCAGAAATGGAGTAACTGGGACATGAGCCAGAGCTTGCCAGGCACCACAGGTGGCAGCTTAGCCTCGTGTGCCAAGGTGCCAGCCCCCCACATTTGCATTTCAGCAGTAAAGGATCTTGTTTCTAAGATCTGAGCATGCCTTGTTTTCTTCTGTCCTGTTATTTCAAATCGGAGATGACCAATACTCACACCACTGCTCTTGCCTTCTTGCCTCTAGCAGCCATGTTATATTCTGTCTTAAGTAGGACATGCTTAGATGTGATTTTTCTTTATACTAATCATCCTTTGATTTTTTTGAATTTGAATCTATAAACGTTCTTTATCAAAGTGATTCATGGATATTTCCCTGGTCATTTGCAGTCCCCTCCTGAGATTACAGTGACCTGCCTGGAGTTGTGGCTTGCAGGTTATGCTTCGTCCTGGTAGAAGTCTTCATTATTGCACTTTCCATCCAGCTCTCTACGAATGCTTCTGCACAAGGTTGTGGGAGCTGCCCACGTACCAGGGCCTCTGCCCTCCACATGGGAAGCCTGCACAGAGACCTGACTAGGGAGCCAGCGGATGAA